GAAGTTGCAGAGAAGTAGCACGGAACGATGATTGCTCTGGTTGTATACTGCATAAGTTATCAAGGGCCATAACTTTAAGTTAAAATGTCTGACCCGAACAAGGCAACGATATGCCCATCTCCTCTTGGTATTGAAAGTTCCAATAAAGTTTCATTGAATTCCAGCCTGTAGTTGCAGAGAAGTAGCGCAGAAACGAATATTTTTCTGTATGCATACAGCATAACTAATCAAGGGCCATAACTCTGTGTTAAAATGTCTGACCCCAACAAGGCAATGATATGCGCATCTTCTCTTGGTATTGAAGGTTCCCATAAAGTTTCGTTGAATTCCAGCCAGTAGTTGCAGAGAAGTAGCGCGGAAACGATTTTTACTCTATATGCATACTGCATAACTAATCAAGGGCCATAACTCTGAGTTAAAGTGTCGGACCGGAACAAGCCGACAATATGCGCATCCCCTCTTGATATTGAATGTTCCCATAAAGTTTCGTTGAATTCCAGCCAGTAGTTGCAGAGTAGTAGCGCGGAAACGATTTTTAGTCTATATGCATATTGCATAACTAATCAAGGGCCATAACACTGAGTTTAATTGTCCAACCGAACAACCTGACGTTATGCGCATCTCCTCTTGATATTGATGATTCCCATAAAGTTTGGTTGAATTCCAGCAAGTAGTTGCAGAGAACTAGTCCGGAAACGAAATTCGGATGGACGGACGGACAACGCCAAAACTATATCCCCCTCCCGATTCCATCGGCGGGGGATAACAATTGCAGAAGCCACTTCCAATTCGTAGAGCGTTGGACTGTGAATCAGGCGACCTGGGTTCGATTCCCAGACGGCGCAGGTCTAAGGTCACTCGTTGTGATTGATCATGAAATCCTATCTATGTTCATTCGCACTGTACCTTTGCTCTTGTATGTACAGAAGTTTCAGTTCCTTGCGAAAGTGAAGGCAACTAGTACTGGTAAGCTGCTTGACAGCCTGCCCAGGAGTGATGTGGTGGTTGAACTGTCCTCTGGTGAATTCAGTGTGGCTTACTGACGTGATACAGAGTGAAAAATACCAACACTTCCACCACTACTGAATGATAACTGTGAAGTTTGGTCAAAATATTTTTGTTGATAAGGAGATGGCAAAATGACAGGCAATGGACATGGGATAAAAAATCTCACCTCTCATTAATTTATTTTAAGCAAATTGTTCTCAGGTGAGTTGAACGATCCCACAAATGAATCAAGAAGAACAAATTCAAGACATTCAAAAATTTTATTTTTTAATTCAACATTAATCATGAAATAACATAGCATACATTATAAAAATCATCACTAATTTGATTACAGAAACATAATGTATTAGTATATATGTAACAGACATATTTCTGAAAAATAACTTATTCTATTTTGACAGATAGATAAAATAATGCAGTACATACTTCATGATTAATATTCAGTACACATTGCATGACTGAAATATGGTTCATATTATATAATTGAACAAGCATTTGATAGTATTGCGGGCAATACAGTAGTCCCCTACCGGTCCCTCAAAAAGTTCTTTAATTGTCATACACTCCTGTGTATTGCCATTTATAATGAATTTGAGGATGAAGTCTGTATTTGAAAATATCGACCACAAAACATAATAAAATAAGTTTGTTTATATCACAGTAATGTGTTAAGTTTCCATGCTTAGTAAGGAAATTATGTTTATACAACCTTGTCATATTATTACGATGTGGGATTTTAAAGTAAATCCTATAAGGAATGAAGAAGTTGGAGTGAAAATACCAGTTTCTCGAAAAAAATCTAAGTTCAAGGGGGACATAATTCTGGAAATAGTCTTGCTAGAGTATTTAACCTTCTCAAAATGTCGAGTGATAATAAGAAACATATATATGAAGTTTGAAGTAGATACATTAGGAAATAAAGAAGTTATTTAAAAAAGACAACATTTTTCCCCTAAAAAATCTAAGTTCAAGGGAGGTAATATTAATATTTTTTGTGCTAGAGTTATAAACCTTGTCACATATGATGTGGTTGATGACCAGGAACTTATATTTAAAGTTTGAAGTAAACACCTTAAGAAATAAAGAACATTATAGTGAAAAAGCTGAAAAATTTAAATCAGAAATCTTGAAATTCAGGCTATTTGTTGTCATAGCAACCAGAATTTTCAACATAGGAAGAAAATAAAAAGATGTGCATAATCTCCAGACTGCCATCTACCCATATTTCAAAGTTTCATAAAAATATTTTCAGTACTTTTTGAGTTATCACTGGATCCAGTTTATGTGTTAAATTTTGCCATATTTTCAGACTATTTGTTGCCATAGCAACCAGAATTTTCAACATAGGAAGAAAAAAAAAAGACGTGCATAATCTCCATACTGCCATCTATCCATATATCAAGTTTCATAAAAATATTTTCAGTACTTTTTGCGTTATCGCGGGATCCAGTTTTGTGGACGGACGGACTGACGGACTGACAGACTGACAGACAGACAGACGGACAGACAGACAGACGGACAGACGGACGGAGGGTAAACCTAAAGTCCCCTCCGGTTAAACCGGTAGGGGACTAATAATGGTACACACTGCATGGCTGGAATTTGATATATACTATGATTGAAATTTGGTACATTGAAATATAGTACTCACATCATGATTGAAATATGCTATACACTTCATGACTGAAAAACAGTACAGTACACAGTGTTAAAATATGGTACATACTGCATGATTGAAATATATTACACACTGTATGATTGAAATTTGGTACAGAATTCACAAATGATGTATGGTACATTCTTCATGATTGAAATATTGTACTCATTGCATTATTGAAATACACTACAATGATTAACATACCACTTCATTGTCATTATAAATTTTTTTACACAAGACACTTCAATGAGATTCATCATGGAAACATTACTGAGAATTAAGAAATTCATTAATTTATCAATACTAAATTATTACAGGGATATAGACTGTGTGATTTGTCAAAAAAAAAAGGCGACCATTTTCCCCTGACTAGAGCGTATTTTATATTCTCAGGACAGCCATGAAAATGAAAAAGTTACTTTTTTCGACTGTACTTTCTAATTTTTACGCAATTCCAATAATCATAGAAGTTTTAGAATGAAATAAAAAATAACTAAATAGATAAGAATTCAAGGCTAAGCAGATTTAGAGTGACTTGATTTCCGCCTTCCACACCAAAAACATTTAAACACTAGTTATAGCTGAAACGATTGATTGAATAACAAAAATTTAAAAGCCAAAAAAAAAAATGGGCTGACTTTACAAAAGACGCAACATAAAATATTCCTAAATGAGTGAAATGACCATGACCTGTGCTTTCTGTGAAATCACAGCCCTTACCAAAAAATGAAAATAATAGATAATAAACTTACATACAAGTTTATACAAATGACAAGTTTACAACACAGACTTTATATTATATCATCAGTATACAAAATAAATCAAGCCTGTTCCAGTTTTATAACAGTTTGTCAATGACAATAAAAAATACTGTATTAAAAGTATTTGTTTTGTTTTCCTTCATTATACTTTTACTTCAAAAGATTTTTGACAAGATATATAGTCAAGTTCAAATCGCTGGAAGCCTATATAACTCGAGTGGCTAAAAAACAAGGATTAAGCGAGTATAAATATGTATATTTACAGCCATATAAAGTGTTTAAACAAGTTTATGATACCTGAAAATTGCCTACTTTGATAACAATAAAAAATGTTACTATGGTGGCTGATTTTCTATTACTTTATTGTTGTTATCCAGCAAAAAAAAACAACAACAACAAGCCAAAGTCACAGGCTTTTGTCTTGTCAAACAAGGCATAATTAATAGTGCCTTTTGGTCCTTCGCTAGAGTGAAAAGAGCATGTCACTAGTGACACAAGACAAGAATAAAGTAAGTGCTTTTGGAAACAATCTATTATGCTGCTATTTATAGTACAATTTATAATTTGGCAATGATTTCACACATTTACCAGTTTCTTTTAATGAAACATGCAAACATATTTCTTATTCACTTATTTTTGGGATTATTCATTTTAAAAATAAAACTACACAGAACAGATATGAGCCGTGTCAAAACCAACATAATGGGTTTGCGACCAGCATGGATCCAGACCACCATGCGCATCTGCGCAGTCTGATCAGGATCCATGCTGTTCGCTTACCAACCCTATTACAAGAAGAGAAACTGATAGCGAACAGCATGGATCCTGATCAGACTGCTCGGATGCGCAGGCTGGTCTGGATCCATGCTGGTCACAAACGCACTATGTTGATTTTGTCGTGACGCGGCTCATAAATAGCTTTATACACTTGGACCATCATAGAATTCTCTACTTAAAAATTATAATAAATATTGAAATTATTTAGGTCAGAAAAATAAAATTTTGAAAATTTATCAACTTCATAATAATTTTAATTTCTATAAAAAAAATTTACAGTCATTTAAAACAAATTGATTAAATTAGAGAAAATGTATAAGTTAGAGAAAATGTATTCAAAACATTCAATCAATTTGCACAAGAACATGTTCATATTTGGTACCAATGTGAATTAGCTAGGCATTTAATGGCTGGAATGTTAGCATACAAAGTACAATATGGTATATTTTATATACAAAATTTATATAACACTACACATTTGTAACATTGATTTTCTTTGGTCACTCATGGCATTGTCTATAATAAATAAATGGAAGGTTTGTAATACAATAAATATATCATATAAAACAATCCACAAAAAATTATGTAAGGATCTTGTTGGCAAGTGCGAGATCTGATTATAAAAGAGCCGCGTCATGACAAAACCAACATAGTGCATTTGCGACCAGCATGGATCCAGACCATCCTGCGCATCCGCGCAGTCTGATCAGGATCCATGCTGTTCGCTGTCAGTTTCTCGACTTGTAATAGAGTTGATAAGCGAACAGCATGGATCCTGATCTGACTGCGCGCATGCGCAGGCTGGTCTGGATCCATGCTGGTCGCAAAACCATTATGTTGGTTTTGTCATGACGCGGCTCAAAATAATTATATTCATAGTACTGCAGATAATAAATGTTCTTGAACAAAATATTATTATCCATTATATAAATGCTCACACTTAGAACTTTATCAACATTTTTTACAAGAAATATTAAGAATATCCAAATGATACATTTCTATTGTTTTTATCAATTTTTTGAAATTCATATGGGTTATGTTCCAATTGCAGACCTATCCACTAAACTAAACTGAATTATTTACATACCTAACTGCAAATTTAAAGATTAAATTTTATTTTCATCAATGTTAAATCAAGGGAAGCAAATCATGATTTATTGTTTACACAACACTTTCCTAGGGACTAGGGTAACGGTTATTTCTAAGCCTAACACCAAAAAGCATCAAATGAAAAATTGCACTTTGGAAGTTTAATGGGCCTACATGTACAAGAGTTAAACAATTAGTTTACTTTCAAATCACTGACTGCATAAAGATGATGAAGCACTGATATCCATAAAGACATAAAAATATCAGTATTAAACCAAACAAATTTTAAATTTTGAGAATTAAAAGCTCAAAATTATTTTCAATATTTTACATAATATTTAAGAGTCTATTTCATTACAAATGGCAACAACAAAATTTATCATTACAAAACTGATTTCAATTTGAAATATTTCTTAATCCCTGACAAACACAACAGCATTGTTTCTCTATTCTGTGTAACCATGTCTCACACACAAAAAATTTGTTTTTATGTACATTTACTCACACATGGTACATAGTAATATTGTTTAATTATGACAACCAGAAATTCTTTTCAAGGAAGCCATCTGGTGGCGGTATACTCCCATGATGCTTCACACTGGTTTCTAATAGCAACTGTAACCTTGTCAATGAACCACTTCCTGCATCAGACGACACACTTTTTAACTTTGGCAACATTTCTTTGACAAGAATATGCAACAACTTCAAGAACTGCTTCTTATAAACTTGACATAGAGCATTTCCTGTAACCTGCAGGCAATCATATATCATCGTTGTGGTAATATCAGGTTCTGGCTCAATGTTCAACACACGTGTCAGCCACATCCAGGCATATTCTATGCCATGGGGGTGGTTTCCTCTCGGTGGGGAAGATACAATGATTGAAAAATATAGTCTCATTATTCCAGACATCCTTTTCAAAAATTTGTCATGTTTTTCCACAACATCATTTTCATACTTGTACCCCCTAGATTTGAAATAGTCAGCATCACTCTGTCCTTCTTGTCTTGGTATATAGTACGGTACAAGGTATGGGCATTGTGCCTGGAAATGGGCTAACAACATTTCTCCAATACTAGGTGACTCTGTCCACAATCCTGCTGCGACCATTCCTATAGCAAATGCAGACTCATGCTTTGACGAAACTTGCTCATCTCCTTTCTTCACGATCATTCTAGCGATGAGATGTTTACAGAATGCAGGTCCCTGGGGATGCTGATTAAGTTGAATTTGTCGACCCGACACTTCCACTGGCTGACAAGACAGAAGTTTCAGGAGGCGTTTTAATTTGTCTCTTAAATGATCACCACTGACAGGTGATATTGCATTGATAGAAGTGTTAACTGCTTTCTGTATATCAAATTTGAATTTCTTTAACTCTGCTGTTGAAGATAAAACAGCTGTTGCCTCTTCTACTGACTTCAATTTTTCCTGCAACTCTGTATACTTTCGGAAAGCTTCTATATCTACACAAAGTTGCTCTCCTCTTGAAGCAGCCTGAGCTGATATGTCTCCAGTTGTGATGAGAGTCTGAGACCTTGAAGCCTGAGGAACTGGAGTTGAGGTGGCCAATGGAGCCTCAATACTTGCAGCAGCAGCAGCGGCGGCAGCAGCTTGGCTCTGTTCTTGTTGTAGCTTTGCCTGTCTTTCTTTCTCTGCCTCTGCTTCTTTTCCATCCTTTTCAGCTTTTTCTAACTCTTTTTGTATAACATGATATGCTTTAATGGCTCTTTCCAATATCTTTACACATTCTTCACAGTTTTCTGCAGTGACTGTGCCACTTTGTTGACAAGCCCTATTCACTGCATCTGCATTACTGACTTGGGATTGTATCAGGTTAAGAGACTTTTTAGCAGTCTCAGAGATGAAGTTCTGGTACTTAGTAGCATTGAAGTCACTCTGAACTTTGGTAAACAGTTGGTTTAATTGTGAAACACATTTAGACAGTTTGTCCTGCCTCTCTTTATTCTCTCTCTCTTTTCGCCTTATTTCTTCTAACTGAAGCTTTTTCTTAACTTGTTCAGCTTCCTGTATTCTGGCATCGTGTATTTGTTTTCTTTGCTCATGTGTCTCTTTCAAAATTCTATGCTGTTTCACAATTTCAGCAGCCTGGGATTCATTTCTCAGCTCAATGTCTTGTATTTTTAATAAAGTTTCAAAATTAGCCTTTCTCTCGATCTCTTGAACTTTAAGCTGTGCTTCAAGTTCAATTTTATTTTGAATCGCTTCAAATTCTTTTTGTTTCTTCAGTCTCGCCTTACGTGCCTCATTTTCTAGTTCATCTTCATATTTACGAATAGCCAGTCTGGACTTTCCAAATTCTGGTGACGTCACTGAACATTTTCTAACAATTCTTATGTTATCTTGATATATATTATCAGAGGAAGAGTTTTTGTGAACTGAGCTTTCTTTACTCTCATTACTTATTGACAATCTATCATTTGAATTATTTGTACATCTACTTTCTCTTTCCTGGTTTTCCTTTCTGTTTTCTTCTTTTTTAGATTTCAAATTTTCAAAGAATTTTGGTGATACATGAATATCTGGGGGAGATGTACATGTTTCCAACAACGACTTCCAACTTTCAGTGGTAGAATTTCTTTGATACGGCAGTTTGCCCTTTTCTGTTTTCCTCAGTTCATCAATAATGCCCATTTTTGTAGACTAACATCAAAACATCAAGGCGGCCATTCAAATTATAATTTTACAACGTGTGCATTTTTCGTCAACACCGGGAAAAATTTCGCTAACCCATCGCGGGAACGTCGACAGCGGCAGTGTGTACAAAAGTTATCCAACTTATTAGACAGTTTGATCAGACTGTTTCGGCTTAGCATGTCCGAACAAAAACTGGACGAAGTAGATGGAGAAGTAATTATGTTTATTTGCATATATTGCTCATCATATTTTTCTTGAGAAGTTTTGGAAAATAGTCTGCTGAAAGCGTGGGTCGAATTATTCGTCCTAGTTAATTTTCGACCCACGCCAAAGTCACATAGATCTGTTAAGATTAATTTAACATTTACGAGTTTGACGTGGTGTCATACGTGCCTGAATATCATTACCAATATATCAATTAAAACTTAGATTCTTATCTCATTACCAATAATAATTTTAGTTTTTGTGATTGTCTTTTAAGTTTTTACAAGTAGATCTATCTATTTGTCCTTTCTGCTTAAAAGCCTTTTATTCAAAAGGTCAAAGACATTTTTTAAAGAAGGCCACTGGATGGAGTCCACCAAATTAGGCAAACCATTACACCGGCTGTGACAATGCCAGATTTAGGTTTTTTTTCTTTGTTCAGCGGTGACTGGTGTCAATCAATCAAACAATAAATGCATGCTTTTCTAAATTCTATAATTCAGTAATTAAATTTATGTCAACAATCCAAGATGTTAATATTTTAATGTCTGTTTCAAAAACATTATTATTGAAAATTTGGATGTCAAGAGTTCAATACTTGATCTCGATACTAGCTAAATCATTTGCAGGGTAAACAAAAGTATACATGTGAACCCTCTGCCTTTTAGCGGGAGACTTCCAGTTTCTGCAGCCATATTTTCAAAGATTTTTCTTAAAATAATGTATATTTTTACAAATTAAAGAAATCTCCCTCTTTTTGATGTCAGAACTTCCTTTGTTTATTGCAAATTCTAAAATCTTCTCTTTTTGAAGAAAAATCGGCCACTTGATCATCAAAAAAAAGTTCACACGTTTGCAACAGAACATCCAAAACTTCAGCATTTGCTACTGAAATATTGTATATCATGTTAATTAAAAGTAAAAATTAAAACACCCAAGACTTTATCCGGATTAAATCAATGTCATGTAGTTTTCAGTCATTGAATTTAGCACTGGCTCATGGCCAGTGAAAATTAGTTGGGGGCCAGTGTAAATATTAAGAAAATTTAGTTAAATATATAGTAGAATAAATTCAAAACTGGAATTCGGGCCAGTAAATTCAAAATCTTAAATTCAATGACTGAGTGTTGTACATGTACATATCTGTCCGGACACATGGTACTGTACAGGGCTGAAAATAAGCGGTCGCCCACGGCGACCTCCTAATTTGTAATTGGACTACCAAATTTCAAAATAGTCCAGTCGGCGACTAAAAAAATCGGCCGTAGATTAAATTAATATCCGTCATTAAATCAACTCGCGTGAAAATTCAAAGGAGCAATTGGCTCCAAAATTATTAAATTGGCTATTAAAAGTATGACTATTGGAATCTCCAGTCTAAATTTAGCATTTACTATTTTAAGAATGGAAAAGTACACATTTGGTTTTCCATTTTCAATTTCCGCTTTACCGCTTCTTATCTCAAAACACAGCGACACAGTCTACTTCTTGTGGGTCATTGACTGGTTTATATTTTTAACTTCCCTTCCGAATTAAATATCGATATGAACAGTAACACAGTCTAATACACTGGCCCTCACCGTTTGTTTACATCAGCTGATAAATATGACACTAAATGTCGTGAACATACCTGGCAGATTGTTGAGTATGCATTGGAAAATTGGGTCTTGATATTTAATATGAAACAATAACGAGCGGCATCCTAAGATGGGTATGTTATTAGCGACAAATTATGTTCTGCAGTTGACAACTTGACCTGTTGACGGTAAGTTTGCATTCAGTAAATCTTATCGTTGTTGATAAAGTTAAACAGATCAAAGAAATTATTAGTTAAGAGTAATGGTTGTTTTTATTTTTGTGTTTTTTTTTGTGTTTTTTTTTTTTCATTTTTTTATTTATTTTTTTTTTATTTTTATTTTTTTTTGGGGGGGGGGTTGATTGCCATTTAATTATGACCTAATTATGCCTTTACAAGGAATTTATGTGACATTTGGCTTTACAGAGAATTCCTGGGGAAAAAGATTGACCTTGATTTGGCTTAAAATCAAATTTAAGTTTTGTAACCCCTAAAGCTCTTGCAGAAGTATTCATTTATAAATGGCTTATGACTGTGAAATATTAAAGAAGATTCAGTTAAGAAGCATACAAAATGCCTTCAGGTAACTTATACTGATTCCTGTACACTTATAATGACAGTAGTACATGTGATTTTTTAATATCCCTACATTTTCTTTAGTTCAGAATTTTCAATATTATTTTCTCCACTTTTCTTACTTTCAAACTTGTTTCTTCTGTATTATTTCAGATACAGATAGTCTTCAAGCCAAATCTTTGTCATTAACCAAGCAAGCTGAAGCAACACATTGGAATGTGTTTCTGCTGTTACTGTCATGCCACTGACTTAACCAGACAAATGTTATAGCTACTGAGCTGGAAGCTTTTATGATTATTGACTGTAAATTATATAAGTTTGATGTGTTAATGTGATAAAAAATGTAGGTACCTAAATAAAAGTGGATAATATAGTTTATGTTTTTCTAAATACCTCATGCTGTACCATTTTGCCTTATTTGAAAATAAAATACAGGCATGCAATTTTCGCTGCTAAAAAAATTGGCTAAAAAAAATTTGCCAGTGCTAGCCCCGTTTCAGTTCATTAATTGTTGGTCCACTAATATATTTACTGGGCCACCAAAATTTTACAGTCAGTGGCCCAGGTGGCCACCAAGCTTAAATGGTTAGTTTTTATCCCTGCTGTAGTGTTGACAGTTTAGATAATTTTGATACCCTCCACAATGGGCCTCAGATATAATCAACATGGTCGACATAATCAGAAATAAATAAAACTAATTTGTTGATTAGGAGAAGAAATGTTCAAAAAGTGTTCCTTTGATTGTCCCTTAGCAGAACTTAGCTATTTGAAAAATAAAACAGGGCCAAAAAACCCTTCTTTCTAGAGGCCGAATATAGGCTGCTTCTCCAACCAAACTAGCGTCTTTTTTTTTTTTTTCCAGTTTGGTCCTCAAAATTCCCCAGTCTCTTGAAATTTCCCATAGAATTTAGAACAAAATTAAATGACAGTGTTATACTGCCTTATTATTATTCCCAGTGCCTTTTACTTTTCTATTTTGAAGGACTTGTTCAAAGTTTGTGTTAAATTTGAGACCCCTTTTCCCTTAAGTATGCCAAAATCAGGCATATTTTCCCCAAGAAAAAGGCTGAGGCCCCTTCCCCAAAAATGGTGTTTTGGCCCTGTAAGATCTCAAATATTATTGAAAATTGTATTTGATTATATCAAAGATATACATAGAATATTTAGCTCCATGATGATATTGATGTTTCCTTTTGATGACTTGAAAAGGTGCCATACTGCTAGTTTTTACAGTGTTCTCCGACTGCACAGGCCCATGCAGCTAGCACATGCCTGTACTGCTTGCCAAAAGTTTGTTGTACTTGAGTCATCTACAGCTAGTATAAATAATTACATTGATGATGTTCAGCCATTTATGATGATATTATGATGAAGCATATAGATATATAAGAAATAAAATAACTTTTGAAATTTAATTGAGTTTTTGGTAACAATGTTAATTCTGGGTTAAGTTTTTGAATATTAAAATATTTCTTTGTCATGATCTGTTATACACCACCTACTGTGTATATTTTTTCTAACACCAACAGTGCATGATTTTCTCTTGATCCTTTGTTAAAATGTCACACAATAAAGCTTGCCTCTGCTCAGACCAACAAAGAATGTTTTGTTTAAGTGTGACATGGAATGGTTACATGTACATATATATATTTTGTTAGAGCTGTTATTGTACATTAATTGATTTAAAGCTACATGTAAATTCAAAAGCAGAGAATTTTTAACAAAATGACTAATCATTAGTAATGTACATTTTCTATTTTGAGTCCAAAATCTCAAAAAGATAATTAAAACTTTTATTTTTAGTGTCCAGTTTCAAGTGAAGACTGTAGAAAGAGACTGAATCTCTTAAAACATCCAGACCTTGAAAAGTCACTGACTGACTCGGGTATGGATGATGGCAGTAACTCTGGCAGTCTTGATACAGGTGAGGTTTCAGAGCTTTAATTATTGATTTATACACACATTTTGTTTTTACTGCTACAAATAGTAGTAGTAGTTTTATTTCATTATATATATATAATGAACATCATATATATTAACAATTCATACTGTGAAAAATAGCCCCATATGTTGGTATTTGCAACACAGAGTACTAATTGTTAGCTTGACTATTCGAGTACTAGAGAGAGCTTTTGTTCTTGCCCCAGCATTAGCGTGGCCATAACACTTTCGGTTAAGTTTTTGCATGGAAGTTGGTATCTACAAATCTATGGAAGAGAGTGGGCTGAAACTTGCTAGATTATCTTACATGATGAGTACAGGTCCCATAACTCTGAAATACAGAGTTATGCCCCTTTTCTTCATGTCAAGCACTGAGAGTCGGCAAGCACGCTGTCTGTTCTTATTTTGTATGCTTAATTGTAATGAAAGCATGGAGGTTATTTCAACCAATGACCAATACTGGTGTTATATGACCAATACTGGTGTTATATGACCAATTCTGGTGTGTTATATGACCAAGTCTTGTGTTATATGACCCAATTAATTCTGGTGTTATATGACCAATTCTGGTATTATATGACCAATACTGGTGTTATATGAACTGTGCTCTGCATAAGACACAGTTTGCCTGTAAAATATATATCCTAAGATATAGCATACCTTAGTGATTTTACAACATTTATATATAATTATGGCATAGCAAGGGACCAAAAGTAAATTCTGCTGTAGGCAGCAATTTCACCAGCCGTTAAGACTCGCGGAGAACAATGAATGGGGAAAATTTAGTGATCTCATAGTTATTGAAACTATCAAAAATGTACAACTATAAAAAATGTAAAAATAAACACATTTTGCTAGTTTAGACTTTTAACACGTCTTCATCACACATCAGTTCTGTGACAAATGATCCCTGTTCTAAGATGCAGTTACCTTACCAGGCTTAAACCTCTCTCAATATTGTTTATTTTTAGCTCACCTGTCACAAAGTGACAGGGTGAGCTTTTGTGATCGCTTTTCGTCCGTCGTCCGTCCGTAAACTTTTGCTTTAAATGACATCTCCTCATAAACCACTGAGCCAATTTCATCCAAACTTCACAGGAATGTTCCTTTGGTGGTCACCTTTGAAAATTGTTCAAAGAATTTAATTCCATGCAGAACTCTGGTTGCCATGGCAACCGAAAGAAAAGTCTTTAAATATCTTCTTTTAAACAACCCTAAGAGCTAGAGCTTAGATATTTGGCATGAAACATATTCTAGTGAGTGTCTACCAAGTTTGTTCAAATAAAAGCCCTGGGGTCAAAATTGGCCCCGCCCCAGGGGGTCATTGATTTTCCCTATATGCATATAGTAAAAACTTAAAAAATTTTCTTTTAAAGAACCCAAAGAGCTAGAGCTAAGATATTTGGCATGAAACATCTTCTAGTGAGTGTCTACCAAGTTTGTTCAAATAAAAGCCCTTGGGTGAAAATTGGCCCCGCCCCGGGGGGTCATTGATTTTCCCTATATGCATATAGTAAAAACTTAAAAAATCTTATTTTAAAGAACAGTAAGAGCTAGAGCTTAGATATTAAGCATGAAACATCTTCTAGTGAATGTCTACCAAGTTTGTTCAAATAAAAGCCCTGGGGTCAAAATTGGCCCCGCCCCAGGGGGTCATTGATTTTCCCTATATGCATATAGTAAAAACTTAAAAAATTTTCTTTTAAAGAACCCAAAGAGCTAGAGTTAAGATATTAAGCATGAAACATCTTCTAGTGAGTGTCTACCAAGTTTGTTCAAATTAAAACCCTGGGGTCAAAATTGGCCCCGCCCCGGGGGTCATTGATTTTCCCTATATGCATATAGTAAAAACTTAAAAAATCTTCTTTTAAAGAACCATTAGAGCTAGAGCTTAGATATTTGGCATGAAAGATCTTCTAGTGAATGTCTACCAAGTTTGTTCAAATAAAAAGCCCTGGAGTCAAAATTGACCCCGCCCCAGGGGGTCATAGATTTTCCTATATGCATATAGTAAAAACTTTAAAAATCTTCTTTTAAAGAACCCCAAAGAGCTAGAGCTAAGATATTTAGCATGAAACATCTTCTAATGAGTGTCTACCAAGTTTGTTCAAAATAAAAGCCCTGGGGTCAAAATTGGCCCCGCCCAGGGGGTCATTGATTTTCCCTATATGCATGTAGTAAAAACTTAAAAAATCTTCTTTTAAAGAACTCAATAAGCTAGAGCTAAGATATTTGGCATGAACATGTTCTAATGGGTGTGTCTACCAAGTATGTTCAAATAAAAGCCCTGGGGTCAAAATTGGCCCCACCGGGGGTCATTGATTTTCCTTATCTGTGTATAGCAAAAACTTAAAAATCTTCTTTGAAAAACCCAATAGCTAGAGTTTAGATATTAAGCATGAAAACATCTTTAAGTAAATATCTACAAGTTTGTTCAAATAAAGGCCCGGGGGTCAAACTGGCACTGCCCCAGAGGTGTCATTGTTTTTTAACTATATGTGTATAGTAAAAAAACTTTAAAATCTTCTTTTTAAAAAACCCAAAGAGCTAGAACTTAGATGTTTAGCATGAAACATCTTCTTATGGGTGTCTACCAAGTCTGTTCAAATAAACAAATAAAAGCCCTTGGGTAAAAATTGGCCCAGGGTGGGGGGGGGGCCTATATACAGGTGAGCGACCTCAGGGCCATCATGGCCCTCTTGTTTATCATACCAACCTTTTCATCAAGGTTTTTATACATATACATACCTAAAACAAAAATTGTTGTACTTAAATGAGGTTGACAAACAAATGTTTGTTATAATGTGTATTTATTTTTTACAGGGATATCTGGTGAAAACAGTGATGATGACGATGATGTTGTCTTGAGAAAACCAAAGAAGACGGTATATTAATAATAAATAAAACTGATTCTTCACTGTACTTTTAAGTTTGATTTTAGTTTGGGATGCATAGATCCCTGACTTCAACTTGTCTAATTCTTATTATCAGATAAAAGGATACAATAAGAATATCATTACAACCTATTTGATAACAGAAGAACACATTTATGTCAATGTTTGTGGTTAAATATATTGTTATTTAAATAAAAGATCAGAGTAGGGATCTATTGATAATGCATGCTTAGATACAAAGTTTTTTCTGGACAGTATTCCAGGCAGCAATTCAAAACAATTAATTATTGAAGTGCCAGATATTCCAGAAATATTTATAAAAATTTGATGGTATACTTTTGTTATGATGCTCACCAAAATCATAACTTGTTATGTATTAATTTCTAGATGCACAGAATTCTTGATGATGATAGTGACATGTCACAAGATGTCACAGATTTATCTAGGGATGTCACAGACAAGCAAGTAAAGGTGGCAAATGTTGAATCAGCTTCAAGCCAAGAAGAAAATTTGCAAGTAAATCCAAGATTTGACCTGTCCAAGGAAGTGATAGATCTTAGAGAGAAAAGGAAACAGGTAGAGTGACCACCATCTGAAATCATGTTGTCTTTTTGCACACATTGTGATGAGTTGTCGTAAGGGATCAACATTTAATTTCATTTTCTGTTCTTGCCGCATTCACTTGAATCATTGATTGACCGTAAGTCTCCACCATACTTATATTTAAAATTTTGATACTATTAAGTTGGCCCACTTAGCTTGAAAGGGAGAGCATCAGATTTGTAATCCTGCAGTGGCTGGTGCAATCCTCTGGCAAGGAGAAATTTCCCCATGGGAATTGGATCAGTTTGACCAAAAATGTGTTGAGGTTGTTGTAAAAACCAAAACAAACAAAATTGATACTATCTGTTTTCTTTCTTTTTTCTTTGCATTTGTACAGTACCACTTAAAAATTCCTAATTTTGTCATTAAAAAAATACCCAAAAAAGTGTAAATATTTCAACAGATCATTAGATATTCCCATTTTAATCCCACTTTCAGGCATGGATTGTTGTTTTAAAAGTAACCATGTAAGTTGAATATAAATCAAGGCTGTGTTTATAGAGCTTTTAAGTTGACAACCTCATAAACAAAATGTGTTACATTTCAGGAGTTTACCCCAGAACAAGCTCTAGATGTGATCTTGCAAGATTCTTCTGATGACAGTGATGAGGACGATAATGATGACACACCCAGCAAGAAGAAAAGAATTGTAAATAATCAAAATGTCTCTGTGTAACTATGAAAAAATCATGATGTCTTAAATCAGACTCGATGTCTGTAGCTGCCCTTCATGCTGTTACTTGCCTCTCATGTGACTCTGTGGGTTTGAATCCCCTGAGGGACTTTGGATTCTTTCATGTGAGGAAGCTATTCAGCTACCTTATGAAAGGTTGTATGGTTCTACACAGGTGTACACTGGTGCCAGAAATAATGCACTTGAGGTTGACCTCCACTAGTAAAGCTGGAAAGGCACCATGTATGACCTTTACAGTCTCATTGGGACTTACTCCTGTTTGCTCGAAATATTTAAAACATCATAAATAATTGATACCTGTATGAAACATGCAATCTGTTCTGTCATGATCCCCTTGTGTTTTGTTTATTTTACCTTTTAACAATCTGCTATTATAAACTTTAGAAACGACCAGTTGTGGATTCCAGTTCTGACGAAGACGACAATGTTACCTTGATGGACACCATTAAGAAACATTCTTCTGTAAGTAATGAGAATTTAAACTGTTGTTTAATTTCTATTTTGTTTCTGAAATTTTTCTTACAAGTTATCTTATGATGGATCACTTACTATTTATTGCATAGAGATAAATGCAAAATGGGCACTTGAAGTCTTTCTCCGCCTGTAAAGCTGGAAAGTCGCCATATGATCTTTAGAACAAAACAAACATGACCTGTATTGTATTAATGTGACCCTGAATATGTTAATTTGGGGTGGTTTTTTTTCATGTTTATGTCATATTTACAGAAGACTGGGACGGATGATCTCTTTGACAGTGAAGAAACCAAACAGAAACATGGTAAGTACATGAACTAAATATTTTATGATCATTATGGAGTATTTTGAATTCAAAATGGGAAATCAAATTTTCAGATAAATGCAGGGATTATTTAGCCATCTGTGATAACTTACAGGTTAAGTTCACTTGGGAATGAACATCCTTTTTTCATTAGAGAAAATGCTTTATTGTACATATCATACTTTACCTAGAATATCACATTTAACTTTACATCTGAGATTTAATGAACATTAACATGATTTGACAGGTGATGACTCAGACAGTGATGATGAGAAAAGTTCGCCAAGAAAAATTCCAGACAACTTATTTACTGAAGATAAACACAGCGACAGTGATAGCTCAGGTAATGTGAAGGTTTCTAACAAATATGTTTACAGCAACACATCTCCAGGTTCAGTTTTCATGAAATTTTCACTTTTACCATGCTAAATATATTCTATGGTCAGTTTTCAATCTTCACTTTTAGGGAAAAAAAAAATATATAGTTACTGGATAGCAAATGGTGCAAACCATGAGTGTCAGCTGATAGTGGTATAAACTGGTTGCATCAGTTGATACAGTCTCCTCCAGGAGGCTAATGGTTAAAAGTGGGTAAGATGGTCAATTTTTTTAAGTCATTTTCTTTTAAATTTATCATTAATGAATTTGTTCCTAAATTGCAAATGTGCCTTCAATGTATCTTTAAAAACATAATGCTTAAAAATATACTATGACGATAAAAATTCATAATAGATGTTATCTGCAACTCCAGAAATTTGAGGATTTTTTTCTGGTCTAATCTCAAAGCTTCACAGTGCTCATAAGAATAGTGATCAATGAGTTACTCTTATTATCTAAGTAGTGACGATATAAGTTTGTACTACAGGATTAGATAGGGAAAAATACATATTTTCCGTGTTCTGGAGCATCTGTTTTGCCTGTTCTTACACATACCTGTTTCATTATGTATATACCAGTGGTAAAATGGTAGGTTTTTGACATAAAACAAACAGAAGGTTCATAATAAACTGAAATTCCACAACAAAATTGCAGATATATTAGATTTTGAATTGTTTGTATGTTTTCAATAGGTTGTAGGTCATCGGGGTCAGAGGTGGAGAAATCAGATCATGAAAATGGTGACGAGGGATTTGATGAATCATCGATTGACCCTAAACTACTGGCGAAACTGAAAAAGGCATGTATGATCAATATTTTAGTGGTCAGGGTCTAATTTCTGTAACAAGTAAAACTTTTAGGAAAACTATATTTATATTTATGGATGGCAAAAGCAATCAGAATTTTTTTTAATTTCGAGGAACTGCTAAAATTATTTAAATTGATATTTATCACAAAATACTGGGCAGTACTCGTATTTTAGGCCTAAAATGAAATATTACTTGTTTGCTCTCCTGTTCCATACCCACAAAAATCACACCTACCAAAAAAAATTTATTACCAAACAAAAACCTAAATTCTTGTTGGTCAGATAAAGTACGCTAATGGAATAAAAAAAGAACGTTGGCATTGTGCATTTTCTATATCCCGAGAAAGCAGAGTTATCTTACGCTTTATTTTCCTGCATATTTAAAACCATGCAGATCTTGATTTAGATTAAGTTTTTATTTTGTTTGGTCAGATAGGTTTTACGTCTCCGAAAGAAACATAATAACTTCGATATAAGGACTTTCATATAAAGATTTTTGAAATTTTGTTGTTCTATTTTTAAGGGAGCAGGAAAAAAGCCAAAGAAGAAGACAAAGAGAGATGAGTTACAATCAATACATAGTGAATCTCAGAGAATTGTTAGAGGTTTGTTAATAATATATAGCATTAAAGTGTTGAACATTTTAGTAATATTTCACTTGATTATCCCAATAAAGATTAATGTACTTAATTATGCTACTTGAAACATTTTATATATCATTACTTTATTTAACCTTTTCTAGAGGCAAGAGTTAATCTACCATATCATCAGCCAGCACCAAAGTCACTCAATGATTTCTTGGCTAGAGCCAACAGGAAACAACATGAGTACAAAGTTCTTAAAGGATTCAGGGATACTACGTAAGTTATGTTCATTTAAAACCATACAAAGGTCACGTTAATCTTTACCCTACCCATGCATGCATATTTGATTTATAATTAGTCAGTACTAAGTAAAAAAATATTTATAAAATTGTTATTTTATGGATTTATTAAAATATTTTGTGCAAAAAAAAAATGTTAACTTTTGACTTTGACTGTCATCAGTGCATTAGAAGTATAATAGTAGAGAAGTTGCACTTTTGTATGCATAAAAATTTCATATAAATGCTACTGGCCTTTACAAAGCTAGAGACAAAAATGCATTGGTTCTAATCTCTCAGGGACTGTGATTTTTTCTTATGCTAGGAAGGCACACCACTATCTTACAGACGATTTGTAGTTCTACTTGTGTGCATGCTCTTGTCTGAATGATGCACATAGGAGCATCTGGAATGTTACCATTGACCTTTATAGTATTGATGTAAATTTTAAGGCAATAAAAGAATAGACAAATATAACAGCCCTTACATTTGTAAAAGTGTTGTTCAAAAAAAACATAGAAATTCAATTTTGCCGTTTTAAGGTAATTTGTTGTAAAGTTTCAATTTTTCATTTTGTAGGAAAGCCAATTTGATGCAAGATATATTACAGAATGTAAGAATTCAGACTAAATCTAAAACTCAGGAAGAGCTCGACAAATACAGTGATTCTGATGAAGATTGGAATCCAGATGAGGAAGAAGACAAAAAACTTAAAGACAGAATAGATGAGCGAATGAGAAATAAATCAGGGGTTGGAATGCCTCTAGGTGAAATTAAACTTGACAATGCTGGTAATGAAAACAGCAATCAGAGTAGTGTCATTGTAGCAGAGGTTGATGAGATGGACGTTGACGATGAAGATGAGTTACCTGATATTTGTGATACTACAGTAAAAAGTGATAAAGAATCTAATAGATCTAATACTGCTACCACAAGTGTTCCTTGTAATTCAACCGTAAGTATTCCAGACAATATCAATGAAGATTCTGAGCAAGGATATGAACTCTTGGTGGAAACTGTGAAAGTTGATAGTAGTAATACAGAAGCTGAAAGTAGTGTTCAAACAAAACCAGAATGTGTTCAAACAAACCCAGAATGCGTTCAAGACAATTCTCAGGCAACGTGTTCTAAAGATATTGATAAAGATAGTGTTCCTTCTGAAAGTGTTGCTAGTGTGTTAAATAATGATACTCCAGATGATTTGTTGTTTGATTGGGAGAAAAATGATTGTGAAAACTCAGGGAAAATTCAGGCAGTTGATAATGAGTGTACTGAATCACGCGGAAGCGATTTGTTCAAGTTAGATGACAATAAAGAAAACATTGACCCTAACGGAAGACCTATTGAAGCAGCAAAATCTAGTGAAGTTCTTACACCTAGTCATAAGGATAATAAGAAGTCTAGTCCGAGAAGCAGTGCTAAGAAAAAGAAGAACAAAATAGCTGCTCTGGCTGGAATAGATCTAGACAATGTTAGACCATGCCTGAGTGGTAACGATGAAACATTTATAACATTGGAAGAAGGTGAGGAGGCACCTAAACACCCTGGGGTACAAAAATTGATGGATAGATTAACAAAACATTCAGTAAAAACTGAAAAGAAGCATCATAAGGACACTGATATTAGGTAAGTCTGGGTTTACTTTCACAGTAAGGGAAATGGGCCCTTCCCTTAAATTTTGGGAGGAATAATACTTATTTTTTTGAAAAAGGCAGAGAAAATCCTATTGTTAGTAAAACTGCCAGATTTTAAAAAGCCGTCATATAAGCTTTAAAGTTGTTGGTGTAACTAAAACAAAAAGAAAAGAAAAAAGTCATGAAATTATTTTAAACATATTTATTGTGCTTGGAAAAGAAGTGATACTGAAATAAATGTTAAAACTTTGTTAAAACTATTTTCTTTGCTAAGACTGTAGAGTCTAGCTGTATATATGATCATATGTTTCAGCATAATCTCTAAGGATGTTGTTGGTATTGACAAAGAAGAACTCAAGTTTAATACATTTACATACCATGGTGAAGATGAGGAAGCCAATCCATTGATGAAATATGAAGCTCCAGGTATGCACAGTTGATATATATATATTTAGTAATTTATGTAAAAAACGATTTTTATGACTAAATTGTCCTCATTGTTAAAGTTCCCAAAGAGACTGGCACCTTTACCACTAGGCCACAGCATTACTGGTGGATTAAGGGCATTATTTTTCTTTGGCAAAGTACATAAGAAACATATTAGTGCCAGAGCAGAATATTAAAATATTTTATAGGTAAATTATAGCCCATTTTCCTCATCTCTAATGTGATTTCAACCTTTTTGTTTCTGTTTAAAAATGATGTTGTCAATATATCTTATGGAAAGTCATTGGTTGTATTTACATCTCTTCTGGAACCTGAAATACAGTGTCATGAGTAAAGAGCTGTTGGGTTATTCATCCACCAGTTAAGCTAGAAAGGTATCATTCCACTTGAGTTGGTGCCAATGAAAAATGAAAAAAAAAATCGTAATTTTTGAGAGAGAAAAAACTTGATCACTGAATCTATTTGTAAAATTGATACATTTAATGGATCTGATTTTAGGTGCCAAACTGGTAGCTTTAAAGGAACAGTTGAAGGAGAAGATGAAAGCTAGGCGAGAGATAGCGAGGCAGAAACGTCAGGAGGTGTACGATCTTGACAACGAGGAGGGAGGTTATGATGCCGAAGAAGAGGCAGAAATGTCGGAACATTCTGACACTGATGTTGAAGATGAGGATGACTTTGAGGAACAGTTTGGGGATGATGAAGAACTAATAGAAGAGAAAGAAAAAGAGGTTTGTAAATTATTTATATTATATATGGTGTGCCTGAATATGAAACTAGTGACCTTAATCAAAACGGTTATAAAATTAGTGTAGCCAATCGAAAGAACCGAATCGGCGGTGGGATTGCTTTGACCTGTCGCACCGTTGTGAATATGAGGAAATTGAAATCTGGAGTGACAAATTGTTTCGAATTTTGTATTTGGCAACTGGTATTCAAAAACATTACAATGCATGTAATTGGCATTTATAGACCACCATCCATGTCAACAAATTCACAATTTATTTCTGACTTTTTCCAATTCATGGAAGGGATTATGCCTCAATATTCCAATCTTCTAATACTGGGTGACTTTAACTTACATCTGAATGAAGAAAATGGCGTGATATCAGAATTTAAAGACTCATTATTCGCTATGGGTTTGGTGCAGCATGTTAACTTTGGCACACAAGTTTTTGGCAATACTCTTGACGTTGTTATTACGGAAGCAGTCAATGGGGTTGAAATTGTGGCATGTGAACCTGGTGATTATGTGTCTGATCATCGAGCAATAAAATGTGTTACAAATGTTCAAAAAGAAAACATAATCAGTAAGTCAGTCAAATTTAGAAACTTTAAAGACATGGACGAGTCATCTGTTAGAAAAGAGTTCAGTGAAATTACAATAGATCAGAGTGATATTAATCTATACGTGAATGAGTTTGAAAATAAAATAAAGAACGTTCTGGACACTCATGCACCTGAAAAAGAGATAACAAAAGTAATTAGAGCTCCTAAACCATGGTTCACTCCCGAAATTCTCACCCTTAAAACATCGACTCGGAAAGCTGAAAAAATATGGAGAAAATATCGTCAACCACAACAATATGAATTATTCAAAAAGTCTCGGAACCAGTACAATGATGAACTCGAAAAAGAGAAAACAAAAGTAATAAGTGAAAAAGTAACTAATACAAAGGGTGATTCTAAGAAGCTGTACCAGTTAGTGTCTGAGTTAACAGGAACTAAATCAGAAAACCCAATGCCACCTGGGTACAGTGATAGTGAGCTCTCCGAACACTTTGCCTCATTTTTCATGAATAAAATAGAGAAAATACGTGATGACCTGAAACCATTTGATAAATTCGAGCCAAATACTAGAAACGTTCCATCTCTTCTTACCTTTGATGAATTTTCAAATGATAATGTTAAAGAGCTGATAAATGAACTACAGACAAAATCTTGTGAATTGGACATATTACCGACAGCAATATTAAAACTATTCCTTGGAGAACTACTCCCAATTATAACAAAACTGGTAAACTTATCACTACAGCAAGGAATATTTCCAAATAAATGGAAAGAGGCTATCGTGAGACCACTTTTGAAGAAAATTGGACTTGAACTTGTATTCTCAAATTATAGACCTGTTAGTAATCTATCGTTTTTATCAAAACTGATTGAAAAAGCAGCTCTGAAAATACTAAATAAACATGCTGATCAGTATGACTTACTACCTACAAACCAATCCGCCTACAGAAAATACCACTCCTGTGAATCTGCGCTACTGCGTTTAGTTAATGATCTGTTGGCAGCCATGGAAAAACAAGAAGTTACAGCGCTAATCGCGATTGATCTCAGTGCCGCGTTCGACACTGTGGATCATGATATACTCGTCGACGTGCTACAGAAGCAGTACGGCGTGAGCGGTTCAGTGCTCAGCTGGCTTGATTCATACCTTCGTCCAAGGGGCTGTCGCGTGTGTGTCAACTCGGCGGTCTCAGCTCCACGGCAACTAGAGTGCAGTGTCCCCCAGGGTAGTTGTTTAGGGCCTTGGCTCTACCTAACGTATGCGGGAACCTTGTTTGACGTGATTCCATCTGGATTATCGGTGTATGGATTCGCTGATGACCATACTGCAACCAAACGTTTTAAACCGACTGAAGAAAATAGTGAAATTTCTGCAATCGCTGAATTAGAAAATGGTGCGATTGATATCAACAACTGGATGAACGCTAATAAACTCAAGATGAACTCATCGAAAACAGAATTCATAACATTTGGAAGTTCTCAACAACTCGAAAAGTGTCACCTAAAATCCATTTGTATAAACGGAGATAAGATCAACTCCGAAGAGTCCATTAGATATTTAGGCGCATTTCTAGACCAAACACTAAATTTCAAGGAACATGTCAAACGAAAGTGCCGTACTGCAATGTTAAACTATCTTAGAATAAAACGTATCCGAAAATACCTCACCAAAGAAGCAGCTGAAATACTAGTAATAGCACTCGTAATGTCACACTTGGATTATTGCAATGTCATTCTTTATGGTGTATCCGATTTTGAATTGAAAAAAATGCAACATATTCTAAACATGTGCGCTAAGTTAGTTCTGCAACGAAAGAAATTTGACAGTTCAAGGCAAGCATTGTTCGACCTTCACTGGCTGCCCATCAAATCTAGAATCGAATATAAAATTCTGACTTTTGTATACAATTGTTCAATCGGTCATGCTCCAAAATACCTTTCTGAACTCCTAACCAAACAAGTGCCAAATACCCGACTACGTTCAGCTAAAACCTCTGAGAACTGCTACGTTATTCCATTCAATAAAAGAAAAACATTTAGTGACAGAAGTTTCGGAACTATTGGTCCAAAATTGTGGAATCCGCTGCCATTAGAGTTGAAACAATCTAAAAATATTGATGTATTTAAGAGAAATCTTAAAACACATTTTTTCAGAAAGTTTGAATCACTATTTTAAAATCTGAAATGAGATAAACATGAGTAACGTATAACTGATGATGACAGTGTGATGAATGTGCAATGTAAATGAATGTTTTATTCTTTTTAATCTATTTGTATCAGTTTTATCATTTTAAGGTCTCTACATTTTTTTTAAAAATATGTTAATTGGAATTGTATGTTAAAGCTTTTATTTCATTTGATGTTGATTCTTATTATATTATATGTACTGTACAACGCCGTTGAATATTGTTAAATAGAAACAGGCGTTTAATTAAATAAAAAGTTTCAAGTTTCAAGTGCCTGAAATGCAATATCATGTGCATATTATGTGTCTTATCCAGTCTTTTTCTAGTATTTTACAGGAAAATAACTAAAATGAGGTATTTTAGCATGTTTGTGGTACTCAAAATTTTGAAATTATGTGCCAGGCGGTCATGTAGATAAATTTTAATTACAATACTTCATGTGAGGAAGCTATTGCACTAGCTTACGGGACATTTGTGGTTCTACTTGGGGTGCCAGCTCATGCCTGAAATAATGCAAAAAGGGCACCTGAGGACTTCTTCCACCAGTAAAGCTGGAAAGTCACCATATGATTTAAACCCAACAAAGAATAATATACAAGTGCATGCTGAAAGAGAAATTTATACTTTCTTGATGATAAAAGCTGTTAAAATGTTTATATGATGTGACAGCAACCACAAGAAGTCATAGGATATTTATATTGAATAGGGTATTGATGTTAACTTTATCTTATAAATGTCATTTCTATAGCCATTCCTGTCCTGTTTTATGGCAGTTACTTTTATTTGCTTGTCACAGAGCTCCAGATAGCGTGCGTTTAAGCGTAAAATACGCATAGAAAATCCAAAATACGCATCACTTTCAAAATTCGTGCGTCAAAGTTACGCACAACAAAATGAAAATACGCTTGTATGTCAAAATTTAAGCGTAAAAGAATAGAAGTGTAAACATTTGATATTCAGATAGAGGATGTTTTGAGCATAAAAATACAATATATTTCCATTTTATTGCATTGAAAACTAAAAGTTCTGTTGTCAACAACGCATGTTAAAAACGAAAGTAGCAGGAAGTACAGAAGGGAGGTAACTCCCGTAGATCAACCTGTGAAATTATTGATATAGATTTTTGCCAGATAATCATCGTAGGAGTTAACATAGTATTAAGTTTGTTTAGGCATCTATTGACAATATAAACAAAAATATATTTTAATTTCTTTCACTTTTGTTGTTGGAACAAAATAACATGTTTTTCACCTGCAGTTTTGTACTCAATATTTTCGTACCCAGTCTACAGTTACGGACAATTTTCTCTCAGACCAATACTTTTTTTAAGGAAAGATAAAAAATCTTGTTTATTTTTCTTTAATTCTAATTTCAACTATAATTGTTCAAACTGGAGCACATGATAAGCTACATGCCAACAGAAATAAAGAAAGAAAAATATTGACTCCTAGAAAATATATTAATTTCAGGGCTTCCACTAGTGGAAGTTTGGGAGTCATTTACTCCTTCATTTTGGCATGTGACTTCCGAAAATCTAATACTTTTCCTTCTTTACCAATATAATGTGACTTCCAATATCAGAGATTTTGAAGTCTTTGACTTCCAAATTTTGAAAATGGAAGCCCTGATAATTTTGCTGTGTATCCTAAACTTGAGTTCCAGTATACTCTGGAAGTCTGACTTTACAGGGCACGTTTTGTATTGCTTCACATTGAATCAGTATTTTATTTTTAAAGGTTTTTCTAAAAAAAGAAAATAAACAAACAAAAAAACAATAAGTTTAATTCATTAATAAAAAATGCAAAATGCTTTTTTGACAGATTTTACCCCTTAAGTTTTTCAGATTTTACATTTTACCCCTCATTCTAAATTTTGAGAGGTAAAAACCCCTTGGCCAAAAAAATTATCTGGAGCTCTGTTGTCATCTAAGTTAATTGACGAAAATTAATTGACGAAAATTATTTCTTGTATTTACAGAAGAATCCATTTGCTGATGATGAAGCTGATGAGGATGGTGAGGATGATGATGAAGAAGAGGGAGATGTTGCTGACGAGTTCGAAGAAGAGGAGGAGTATAGTCTGAAACTAGATGTGACCGACGATGAACAATCTGGTATGTTGATCTCAGCTGTTCATACATTCAGTATAAGTTATGTATATGTGTTTATCACTATGGAATTATTTTTGGCAGAGTAAACCGGTTTTGATGTGTCTTAGGTTTGAAGTATATTTGTAAATAAGGGGAGTCCTAGCTGAGTGGTTAAGGTGGTTTACTTCAAACCACTTGCCTGTCACCGCTGTTGGTTTGTGCCATGCAAGCATTCCACATGTAAGAAAGCTAGCTTACTGAACATAGGTGGTTCTACCCAGGTGCCCGTTCATGCCTAAAATAAAGTACAGAGGGGCCAATGAGGTCTATCTCTACCAGTAAAGCTGGAAAGTCACCATTTGACCTATACTGTGTTGGTGCAACATAAACCCAACCAAACAAACATTTGTAAAGAAAATAGCAAATACTTGAAATAAATTGAACAAGGACTGTAAGGGTCTAGGAAAATACATTGTGTAGTTTTACAGCAGTCCTGTATAAAAAAAAAACTCCCTATTTCAGAGTCAGTTTCTTCCTTGAGAGTATATGACATGTTTATCACAACTATTTATTTTAGAAGGTGATGAAGATGACAACGAGGATAAAAGTAAGTCTGGAGATGAAGAACCTAAAGAGAAACCAGCAGATTTTAAAGGTAGAATATATATCTTATCATATCAGACTAAAAATGAGCACATTATTGATAGTTGGACCAATTGATTTGCAGAAATTTTATTGGCACACACAGTTTGTCAGCATGTTAGACTTTAAAATTAAACGTCACTCAATTGGAGTGATAGCATATCCAGTTTTTAGGTGTTTTTATCCTCCATTTGATTTCTATATCCACATTTGTTGACTTAACCCATGTTTAGTCTGAGGTCATAATAGTGTTTTACTGGCTAAAACCATGAACAAAGACCAATAACTAAATATTTACTGATTTAATTTATTAATAAATTTACAAATTCTGTGTAGTAAGCATGAAAGACAGTCAAGCTAGCTCTTGTGTGATAGCTCTTGTTTATTACGTTATATTTGTATTTCAGAGCCAGAAGAACCAGATGTTTTGGAGAAGCCTTTTAGTCTATTTGGTCGTAAAAGTAGAGGAAATAGTATTAGTGATACACAGTTCCCAGTAAGTTTCTGTCATATTTTGTGTGTCAACATATTAGAAACAGCTTTATCACATTGTTAAAGTCAGTAATGTTGTTACAAAGGACTCTAGACCTGCAAGATCAATATAAAGCATTTCTATGTGATATTGTTAGTAAGTTCTTGTTATTAACTAATGATAATTACGATACTACTTTCATACTTTTATAAAATATAAAGCTGTAGAATTGTATGTAAAAAAAAAAACAAAACAAAAAAAATCTTGATCACAATGAATAAGACATACATTATGTACATATATAGAAAATTTTCTTTAAGACAAACCCCTTCCATCACTAACTCAAATGTGGCCAGTATAAAAAATGTTTGATACTTCTTATGAAAATGTAAGTAAATGGTATTGGACACAATAATGGCTAGAAAAAAGCATCTACAGTTTGGAATGAGTCCATCTCAGAAAGGGGATACACACTACAGGTTTTCATAACTAACAGATTGGTGATCCTTATCATCAGTTAAAATGCTGTTAAAATCAGTTGATTTTTCAGCCTGTAGATTTAAAATATCCCCTTTGACCCTTGTCATATCGGTTGTTTTCGTTGGCACATCTTTTGTCTTAAATAAAAATGAAAACTTTGAACGCTAATAAATTATTAACACAAAAAAAATTATACTGAAATTTTAATTTTAGAGCGGGCAGACAAAGACATCAACATTAACTATGCCAATAGAAGACTCACAGGACCTGTATAACTCCTTACTACCAGAGATAACACAGAGAGACAAACCAAAGCGAAAGTCGCAAGACTTCAGCTTTATGCTAGAGGATTCACAGTCGAACATGTTAGATGCAGATGGGTAAGTTATAAGTAAAAAATAATAAGAGATTGAATTTAGATAGTAAATGCAAACAGTTTTAAGAACATTAGAGTTTAGTGGACAGGTTTTCACTGAAATGGTGAGTAGAGGTTGTTTGTTAGGATTTGAAATTCAAGGTTGTTGTTAGTTAGGTCACATAAAAATCTTTATTTTTTTGCTTCTGCAACCTATGCCAGATTGGGTACGTAGGTTTAATATTTTTATCTAAAATATTGTTTTATTGAGCACTGAATTTCAAAAAAAAAAAAGTTACTTATGCTTAAGCCTGTTATTTTTTCAAAAAGTAGAACTAAAGTTCTATGTTAAATAAAAACATCCCAGTTTATAATGCAAAAAAAAACAAAAGACAAATGACAGACTCTACGTCCATGGTTAGTCAAAAAAAAATTATGCTAACTTTTAGAGAGATAAAAAAGTGGAGCAATTGTCTTGACATTCACATTAGTGTTGGAAATAATTTCTCTGCAACTGTAATATCCAGTATTTCACAAAAAATAATATACCAACTTAATACTTTTATAACCAAAATTGGAAAATGTGTGCCAAGAGGCAATATGTTTTCAATCATGTGTGAAAGCTGCATAACTGATTAGAATCATATATAATATATATAAATAAAACAGGTACATCAAAACCAAGTCAACAGGGAAGAAGAAGATGATTACAGACCTTGAATCAGATGACATTCCAGCTTCACAAAATGACATGAGTGAATTACTAGGGCTGTGTTCTGGCAGATTTATGGGTAATTCATTTATTCAGCATTCTGTTTTTCAAATAAAAAGAATCTTCTGATATTGCAACAACATACTTATGTATATCAAAATTATTAGCATGATTTTTCTAAGAATATAGGGCTCCTTTTTTTTCAGGAAAAAGGTAAGATTCTCTACGCTTTATTTTGAGAATATATCCTTTAAATGGAATTACAGGGGTTTACAGCTTTATCATTTTAAAGGATTTTGTTGAGCGAAAGCAGCTTTTGGACAGTCCCTGCTGTACAAGTAAAAATAGCTCTGGAATTACAGGGATATAACTGTTAAACCTTGCTTTACTCTATTTTGCTGTAACGCATCTTGGAATATTCAAGTATGATCTCTGATTAGCAGCTATTGTTATTCACACTGGTGGGGGGTCGTCAAACTGAGTAATGACTAAATCTGAATAATTTATAATTAATAAGTTAGAATTACAAATTAACATATGTTAATCACTTGTTTTTACAGACAGTCAAAAGGGAGGAGATGATAAGACATCAAGAAAAAGTCTCTTTGATGACAATTCAGTGTCAAATACTCAAGGAAATATGGAGGAACTTATGGGACTCTGTTCTGGTGTCTTTGCAGATAAGTATGTATCATACGCAATGCTAAATCTGTCATAATAATATATATAAGTAGACCACAGAGGTTTTTTGGGTTTTTTTTAACCAAAATTGTTCATTAGTGTATAATATGTTGTTTTCATAAAATATAAACCAATGTTTTCTTACTATAACATGTAAGTTTGTAATTTTTAGCCATATCAGAGGATTATTCTCACTTAATTTGGAAGAGGTCATAGCCTCTTCATTTTGCGAAAAATTATTGATAAATTGCTAATTTGGGAAGTAAAAAGCTGGTGTAAGTTCAGGTTTTTGGAAGAAATTACATGATTTTAAGGAAAATTTCAACGTGGAAGAGGCATTTTATAGGCCTCTGTTATATGAGGTGAAGTCACTGCATACACAATTAGGATTGCCAATCCCAAAGCAAGTTTTGTCAGACTTTCTAACACAGTTAAACACTCCAAATACGAAATATTGATATTTTTATTGGTGACCTGATCATAATATAGGCATTTGCTGTGATGCTGTCAGGTTTGTGCTTTTACTCAATATATTGAGACACTAAACAGTGATGGACTTGCAGTTTTGTACATGCACATTTGACACAAGTATGACATTTCAGATAAAATCAAACATAGCATAGTTTACATCATATATTTTTTGTGATATGTAGGTCAGGTACACAGTCTGGTAAGAAGGGCACAAAGAGACCAGCATCTGATGTAGAAAGTGATGATGATTCTATAACAGCATTCTCCGATAATGAGGATAAACAATTTGATAAGGTAGGAATAACGGAACATTTGAGCTAGTGAATATATTACCAAGATAATTTACAGGGTGCTCATTGTTACTTTCCTTCACTTTTGTTATTAGTAATGCTTTATAAAAGTGACTGTTCTATATAATTTTGTGAAAGATTTTTATATACTGAGAATGTAATGTAATATTTAAAATGTTTTGTCTAGGTTATCTTGGTTTATAATACAAGATGTAAATCTTTCAGTTTTTATGCCCTTGTAACATTACATTAGTCGAAAAACAAATACAAGAGATTTTTGAGCCTTTCGTTATCTTTTAATTTGAAAATACATGTATATTATTTTATAGCTCATAAGCACAGCTATCAAAATGGATATTGAAATGAATGAAAGAAAATTATAAAACTATGTACTGTTTTAAAGGATGAAGGAAGTGATATTGAAGGTGAAGATAATGAAGAAGAAGGTGATACTGATCATTTAGACAGTGAGGAAGAAGAAGCGGAGAAACCAACAAAATTTACTGGGTTTACTGTCAAAAATAAACATGGGTAGGTTTCCTGTTAATTTTGGATATTGGAAATAAATTTATTGATATTTCCAAGGATATAGAATGTTTAAATCAGTTACTAATGTGCTGTTTTGATATTTTCAACTGATAAAGGAAATTAGTGGTTTTAGTTCAACTATTCTAAGAATAGGGAGAGCTATTGTACTGAACCAGGCATTGTCTTCGGCACTTTGGTTATGTTATTGTTGGAATCTCCAAGACTACTGTAGGGAATGAGTTAATACTTCATACACTTATTTGAGAGTGTAATTGGTCACTGTCCATATCCCATAACTCTAAACATTTTACAGAATTATGGCCCTTTTTGAACATAGAAAATTCTACATTATCCGGGCTTTGTGACTTGGCAGTCACCCAAAAAAAATAAAAGAATGAAAAGTGGAAGAAAAAGATGGAACAAATGGTGGTTGTTTGGGGTAAAATGAAAACATTTGATAATTTTATACGTTGTTTACATAAATAGCATAATAAATGATATTGCTGAATATTTTCAGAAAAATACGACAAGAGTTTGTTGATGAGGAAGCAGAATTATCAGGTAAAATTTGTTGATCATTTCTGTGTTGTTGGTGAGAACATAGAATAGTTATCAATGAAATTACTTCCTGAAATTGCCAAGGCAAAGGGATATTTTTTAAGCAGTACTGAGATTTAATGATTCAATAGAAATTTTAACTTGAGTGATAGAAGCAATATAAAAATGACTTAACTATACAACTAGTATAAAGTCATGCCAACCTATACATCTTTGAAATCTGCCCAGACTGTATACTCTTTGGCTGTTCAATCGATCAAAATCTCTTGAACTCACAAATTTTCAGTTAAGACAAGTCCATTGACTAATTGGATGGAGCAAAATTTGAATACTATAGAATATGAATATATATTAGAGGTAGTGAATTTTATATGAATATATATGACAGAAATAACTATAATACTATATATAACAGGTAGTAATTATCATATGACTATATTATTACAGGTAGTGAATATGATAGTGATGAGAATCTGGACCTGGCAGAGGAAGATGATATAATGGAGATGGAAGAGGGTGATAAAGATGCAGCTAAAATTGATCAAAATGAACTGAGGGATGAAGTGGGACGAATCCATTTGTAAGTACAAAAATGCTATATACTGACCTCATAAAGAAAACATTAAAATGAAATAATCATAGCACTTACTGTAATAAAGAATAATAGGGGGCAGGAGTGGATGGAGTTAACTGTATTATTGTAATTTTGATCCTTACTTGTTAGTATAGATTCTTTCATAAAATTGTATTGTTTAAGGTTTTAGTAAAATTAAATAAACCAAAATGAAGATTCTAGTATTCCAATACCTGGAATCAATTCTTCAAGAAATAGATTATAAACCACCCTGATGTTCAGTTTGCCCATCCCTTTGTTTTACTTTCTTCAAAAGTTTTCAATTGTGGTTATTGATAATCTTGAAAGTTATTTACCTTGGATGTTATTGTAATGATAAGTGTCTTGTTTTCTATAGGAAACAACTGATAGATGAAGATAAGAGGGAGTTATTGAGGTATCAAGAAATGTATCTCCCAGACGGAGATTTGTATTCTGAGGGTGGTGGCAGGGTTAGACGATTCAAGTGGAGTAACATGGAAGGTGAGTTGTTTAATTTTGTGTTCAAAGGAAATGTGCCACGGAAAGTCTTGATAGCTGGACATGTTGAGCTTAGATTGACTATTCCTTGAATTCTAAAAATATAAATACCCGATGATATGTAACATTTAATAAATCTCTACATAGTATCATATATTGTCAAGCTTAGAAGGATAATGAATGCCTTGATTTCAAAAAACAGGGTAAATACCTTTGGAATAGTCTTTATTTTGAAGGGATTTCATAATGACCCAGTAACTAGGTAACATTAGCCACTGCAACATGGTATTTTCCTCCAGAATATTATTGGCCATTTCTTTGCCTTTTCTGGGAGGTACTGGTGAAACCACTCATGAGTGGCGGTATGACTGAGTGGTTAACACCTCTTACTAGTAATATAAGGATCACTAGCTGCATGGGTTCAAACCCCATCAAAGGCATACCATTGTGTCCTTGAGCAAGAAACTTAACACTCATTACTCACTACTGATTGGTACCAGGAATGGGTTAGAGAGTGTGTCTATAAGCTTATAGCTTTCTACACAGTCAAATTGAAATAAATTTTGCATAAACTAAACCACTGTTTACCCAAATAAAGTAATGACAAATTTAGAGTTTTCAGGTTTTCTGAAATTCTGAACTTGTACCTGTGTATTGTTAGAAATTAATCCCCTTTTTCAAACACAAGGAAACCCCAGATTGAGATAAAACAATGAAATCTTAATTTTACTTGACATTACTCTTGTATATTGTAGATGACTCCCAGCAGGACATGTTTGATGATGGTAGTGATGGTGAGGAACATCCGGAAGAGACTGAAGATTATACCTGGAGAAAAGAGAGATATGAGAGAGAACAGTTCCTTAAAGAACAACAGGTAAACACTGGGTTTCTAAAAGCTGTCCGCAAACACTAGCTCAATAGGGAGAGCATCGGATTTGTAAACCAGGGGTGATTGAGTTCTTTCTTCTGGGTGTTGAAATTTCTCCATGACAATTGTATTTGGACATGGAGTCTAATGGTCATTTATCTCTCACCGCTGATTCAGAAATCATGTTGGTTTAGTAGTTGGTCAGTTGCAGAGAAATTGGGTCATTACTGGATAGTTTTAGAGGAAAGCTGGTTAGGTGTATGGACTGCTGAGATATAACCAAAAAACATATTAAAATCAACATAAAATCAAGACAAACATATTTTAAAAGAACAAATATGCTCTTTTGAAATTGTTGAACTGAAGTTTCTTTATTGTGACCTAATTTTGTGGAATCCTAACCACAGTTGCCTCATTCCATTTGTTAAAAGAACTGTGGAAACATTTGTGTGTATTGGGATGATTCCTTGTTTCTTGCTATTGTTATGCTAAGTCTGTTGTTGGAACTGTCCTGAGAAAGAATACTGTTTAATGATTGAAATTTGTTACATTTCTACAAGTAAAGTGCATTTTAAAGCAATTTTACCTTCCCATGCATATTGCTGTGCTGTTGGTACGTTACACTTTTACAATTAAATATATGTATGATAGCAGATTTGACTGTACATATTAATATTGTAAAATGTTTGTTATAATGAAGTGTTGTATGTTTGTTGTAGGAAAAGGAAGCACAAGAAGGTGAAAACAGCCAATTCCTGAAGCTTGGAAAAGTTTTCCTCAAGAAAAAAGGTACATTTACTGTCAAATTATAGAACTGTTGTTAATGCAATAGATTACTTAAAGTACAAGTAGTATACCATTTCGAAACAAGAACTTGCATTAATTTTTAGCTCACCTGACCACAAAGTGGTCAAGGTGAGGTATAGTGATGGGGCTATGTCCGTCATTGTGCGTCGTTCGTCGTCAACAATTGGGTTGTTAACAGTCTAGCAGTCACAGTTTTGATTGGATCATCATCAAACTTTGTCAGAATGTTTGTCTCAATGAAATACAGATCGAGATCAGAGATGGGTTATCTCGGGTCAAAAACTAGGTCACAGGAGCTAAAAATAGAAAAAGCTTGTTAACACTCTAGAGGCTGCAGTTTTCATCCAAATATTCTAGAAATTTGTCAGGAAGGTTGTTTTAATGATTTCTAGGTCAAGTTCGAAGATGGGTCATCTCCGATCAAAAACTAGGTCACAGGAGCTAAAAATAGAAAAAGCTTGTTAACACTCTAACAATTGGGTTGTTAACAGTCTAGCAGTCACAGTTTTGATTGGATCATCATCAAACTTTGTCAGAATGTTTGTATCAATGAAATACAGATCGAGTTTGAAGATGGGTTATCTCGGGTCAAAAACTAGGTCACAGGAGCTAAAAATAGAAAAAGTTTGTCAACACTCTAGAGGCTGCAGTTTTCATCCAAATATTTTGGAAATTTGTCAGGAAGGTTGTTTTAATGATATCTAGGTCAAGTTCAAAGATGGGTCATCTCCGGTCAAAAACTAGGTCACAGGAGCTAAAAATAGAAAAAAGCTTGTAAACACTCTAGTGGCTGCAGTTTTCATCCAAATATTCTGGAAATTTGTCAGGAAGGTTGTTTCGATGATATCTAGGTCAAGTTCAAAGATGGGTTATCTCCGGTCAAAAACTAGGTCACAGGAGCTAAAAATAGAAAAGGCTTGTTAACACTCTAGTGGCTGCAGTTTTCATCCAAATATTCTGGAAATTTGTGAGGAAAGTTGTTTTGATGATTTCTAGTTTAAGTTTGAAGGTAGGTCATCTCCGGTCAAAAACTAGGTCACAGGAGCTAAAAATAGAAAAAGCTTGTTAACACTCTAGTGGCTGCAGTTTTCATCCAAATATTCTAGAAATTTGTCAGGAAGGTTGTTTTGATGATATCTTGGTCAAGTTTGAAGATGGGTCATGTCTGGTCACAAACGGGCGATACTAAACTGCTGACGAATAAGCTGACGATATAGAATGTATAGGAAACTGCTGACCAGTTAAACAAAGAAGGATTATCGAAAACTGCTGACCAGTTACATAAAGAAGGGAAAACATGAAGGTGTCAAATTGCCGTTGGTGATATTATAGGCGAGGTCGAGAAATACTTAAGATGTTTTACAAAATGAAAATATTACAAATGATTAATATTAATTATAAAAATTTCAATTGATAAATTTCTCAATTTCTTTTGATATAATATTTTATTTTAGTACCTTAATGAATTTTCTTCTATGTGTTACATATTGGTTAAAATTTTAAAAATGTAGTCAAAATATGATGTACGAAAAATCATAATTTGTTTCAAGTATGTATAAAGCTATGCATCATAGGTTAAAATATATACATGTACATATATGTAATGTATATTTTAACAACATATAATTATTATGTCGTATCACGGATTTATATATATAAATCCGTGGTCGTATTTAGTACAAATATGAAATAAAGTGATTTCTGTCTGTCTTATTTGTTGTTCGTATAATTGTACAAGTAATATTGAACAAAAATTAATAATGACCTAATTGTTAATGTAAATTGTTAATTAGCTTTTATTACATTATAAACACCATGTTTCTACAGATATCCATTAAACTGATAATTTATCGAGACCGATATGCCCCAAGGTCATATTAAAAGCAATTTCACACGTGACGTGTCATTCTTGATTTATCTGTGACAAAATACAATAAACAGTCCAAAATATGTTATTAAAATACTGACCATATTGTAGAATCTGCTGACCAGTTAGATATATAGAGAAAAATATATTTGGCCGTGAAATTGTTACTCGTTTTATAATGTAATCAAATTTAATATATTTTAAAAATCATGTCGACATTTAATTAAGTAAAAACACTGCTGACCAATTAAATATTAATTCAAATTAATTTAAGCCGTAAAACTCTTCTTATTCCATATTGTCAGCAAATTTAACGCTCTTTACATTCAGGCGAGAAAATGCTGACCAGTTAAACATATAGTAGAATCTGCTGACCAGTTAAATATATAGGGAAAATGCTGACCAGTTAGATATATAGAGAAAAATATATTTTGCCGTGAAATTGTTACTCGTTTTATAATGTTATCAAATTTAATATATTTTATAAAATCATGTCGACCTTTAATTAAGTAAAAACACTGCTGACCAATTAAATATTAATTCAAACCGTAAAACTCTTCTTATTCTATATTGTCAGCAAATTTAACGCTCTTTACATTCAGGCGAGAAAATGCTGACCAGTTAAACATATAGTAGAATCTGCTGACCAGTAAGATATATAGGGAAAATGCTGACCAGTTAGATATATAGAGAAAAATATATTTGGCCGTGAAATTGTTACTCGTTTTATAATGTAATCAAATTTAATATATTTTATAAAATCATGTCGACCTTTAATTAAGTAAAAACACTGCTGACCAATTAAATATTAATTCAAATTGATTTAAGCCGTAAAACTCTTCTTTTTCTATATGGTCAGCAAATTTAACGCTCTTTACATTCAGGCGAGAAAATGCTGACCAGTTAAACATATAGTAGAATCTGCTGACCAGTTAGATATATAGGGAAAATGCTGACCAGTTAGATATATAGAGAAAAATATATTTGGCCGTGAAATTGTTACTCGTTTTATAATGTAATCAAATTTAATATATTTTATAAAATCATGTCGACCTTTAATTAAGTAAAAACACTGCTGACCAATTAAATATTAATTCAAATTGATTTTAGCCGTAAAACTCTTCTTATTCTATATGGTCAGCAAATTTAAATTTAACGCTCTTTACATGCAGGCGAGAAACTGCTGACCACTTAAACATATAGTAGAATCTGCTGACCAGTTAAACATATAGGGACAATACTGACCAGTTTAAGATATATAGAGAAAAATATATTTTGCTGTGAAATTGTTATTCATTTAATAATGTCTGCAAGTTTAATATATTGTATAAAATCATGTCGACCATTGAATTAACAAATAAATATTAATTCAAATAGATTTAAGCCGTAAAACTCTTCTTATTCTATATGGTCAGCAAATTTAACGCTCTTTACATTCAGGCGAGAAAATGCTGACCAGTTAAACATATAGTAGAATCTGCTGACCAGTTAGATATATAGGGAAAATGCTGACCAGTTAGATATATAGAGAAAAATATTTTTGCCGTGAAATTGTTACTAATTTTATAATGCAATCACTTACAAGAGATTTTGATAAAAAAAACATATATAAAACATTACTTGAAATTTTTGCATATCTTTAGAGGTATAAAAAGCTGTTTAATATATCTTTTTAAAATGTATGATATTATGGTACACTTTACTTGTATATAATAATTTAGTTCTATATAGTCATATAAATGCAAAAATTTAAAATATAAATAAAAGTAATTTCCCATCTTTTTATTACCCCCTAAGGCGTGTTTATATAACTTCACGCCTTCAATGTTTCCCTTCTTTGTATAACTGGTCAGCATTTTCCAATAATCCTTCTTTATTTAACTGGTCAGCAGTTTCCTATATATCTATATCGTCAGCTAATTTGTCAGCAGTTTAGTGCGACCCGTCAAAAACTAGGTCACAGGAGCTAAAAATAGAAACAGCTTGTTAACACTCTACTGGCTGCAGTTTTGATCCAAATATCCTGGAAATTTGTCAGGAAGGTTGTTTTGATGATTTCTAGGTCAAGTTTGAATATGGGTCGTGTCCGGTCAAAAATGAGGTCACATTGCCCAAATTTGGAAAAATCTTTATAACACACTAGAGGTCACATGTTTGACTCAGTTGTCATCAAACTTGGCCAAGATGCTTGTTTCACACATTGCTTGGATGCGGTTGTGTCAGGTGAGCGATCCAGGGCCATCATGGCCCTCTTGTTTGTATCTTCATTAACTTCCTGTATATTATGGCAATTAACATATTTAACTTACAATTGGAGTATTCAGTTGAAGGTAAATATTCCACGTGTATTTCAAAGAATGAAAAGGCACATTTTTTTAATTTTCCAATCTTACAAGAAAAAATGCTTATTGCCGAAGGCTCAGGGTGAGCTATTAGTATCAAAGGGGGATGCTCCGACGTCCATCGTCATGCGTCAACAATCGTCTTTTTCTCTGAAACTACTGGACAGATTTACTTCAAATTTGGTCTGTAGCATCCTTGTGACAGTCACACTTGAATTTGCTCATGTCATTCCAATTGGCCCCTTTTAGGGGTCAGCAGAGCTAAAAATAGAAAAACCTTTAAACATCTTCTTCTACAGAACTAATGGTTGGATGATCACCAAACTTTGTCTGTAGCATTCTTGGGTAGTCTTTTATCAAGTTTGCTCCTATTAATTTGATTGGCCCCTTTTAGGGGTCTCTAGGGCTGAAAATAGAAAAACCTTTTAACATCTTCTTCTACAATACTAATAGATGGATGATCACCAAACTTTGTCTGTAGCATTCTTGGGTAGTCTTTTATCAAGTTTGCTCATATAAATTTGATTGGCCCCTTTTAGGGGCGGCAAAAGCTAAAAATAGAAAAACCTTTAAAAGTCTTTTTCTACAGAACTAATTGATGGATGATCACCAAACTTTGTCTGTAGCATTCTTGGGTAGTCTTTTATCAAGTTTGTTAATATTATTTTGATTGGCCCCTTTTAGGGGTCTCTAGGGCTAAAAATAGAAAAACCTTTTAACATCTTCTCCTACAGAACTAATTGATGGATGATCACCAAACTTTGTCTGTAGCATTCTTGGGTAGTGTTTTATCAAGTTTGCTCATATTAATTTGATTGGCCCCTTTTAGGGGCCGCTGAAGCTAAAAATAGAAATACTGTTAAATGTCTATTTCTACAGAACTAATTGATGGATGATCACCAAACTTTGTCTGTAGCATTCTTGGGTAGTCTTTTATCAAGTTTGCTCATATTAATTTGATTGGCATCTTTTAGGGGCCGCAAAAGCTAAAAATAGAAATACCTTTAAATGTCTATTTCTATAGAACTAATTGATGGGTGATCACCAAACTTTGTCTGTAGCATTCTAAGGTAGTCTTTTATCAAGTTTGCTTATATTATTTTGATTGGCCCCTTTTAGGGGCCGCAAAAGCTAAAAATAGAAATACCTTTAAAAGTCTATTTCTACAGAACTAATTGATGGAAGATCACCAAACTTTGTCTGTAGCATTCTTGGATAGTCTTTGATTAGCCCCGTTTAAGCTAAAGCTTAAATGCCTCAGGTCATGGCATTTCTTCAAATTATTGTTTAAACATATTCTATGCTCAAATTTAATAGAATATATTGACATTTAAACACTGATAAGCAGTTGTTTCTGGTGAGCGACTCAGGGCCATCATGGCCCTCCCTCTTGATGATGGCCCTCTTGTCTTTTGTTTTTGTCCTTTGATAAATATGGAAAGGGCATCCTCTGCATGTATTATATAAAAAAGCAGTATATTCTTTAAAACATTTGTTATTGAAATATAGGTTCAGTAGATACCAGCAGCTCTGACAAGGGAAGTAAATCTACAGAATCATCAGGGGCAGAAACTCCAGGTTTCCCAGGATCCTTTTACAAACTACCTGTAAGTTCTCGTCATGTGTTCTAGCTGATTGTCATACTTTATATTTGCATAGCACCTTGGTACATGGTGTACCAAAACATTTGGTTTTAGTTCTGCGTCCGTAAACTCCTCATAAATTGCTGAGCCAATTTCATCAGGAAGGGGGGGGGGGGGTCATTGATTTTCTTTATATGTATATATTAAAAACTAATGTTTTTACACATGCACTGTTTCAAATACAAATATGAACTCGGATAATATCTGCTTTTGTTTATAGTTTACAATATTACTTGTTCCTTGTCATAGTGAGTTTCTATATACAAGTGAGCCATTTCAGGGCCATTATGGCCCTCTTGTTTTTGTATTTGATGGAAATGGGTCACTGGAATTATTTGCCAATGTCTGATTATGCATATAATGTAGCGGGGTATTGCTAATTTTAAATTTGCACACTCTAAATGCAAAAAATTTTAATTCTTATGTTCATATAAACAGGTAAAGTAAACTTACAATACAAGTACATCTATTTAATTGACATATAATGGAATGAAGTCAATTTTCTTTTTTATCTATTTTTAAAAAAAAATCATTCATTACAATTTTACATTTTCACATTTGTTTGCATATTCCAACTTGAAATTGAACAAATGTTCAAGAACTCTTGTCTTGAAACATTTAGAATACAATTATACAAGAATAGCCTTAATGCACCTTTTTTTCCTGCATTGATATCTGCAGAATTTCTCAAACTTGCTGAATGGCTCACCCTTCGGGCCAGGACTTTAAATGCATCCTTATGGTGCTGCAGATGTTAATGCATGAAAAATGGTGCAATAGCCATCTATAAGAAAAGAGTCATTTCTTTATTGTCTAATCAAAAAAAAATTCCAGTAAAGCCATTCTAATTACCAGTAAAGCCATTCTATAAATCATAAAATGTTAATTTATATCTTCCAGCAACAGAAGAGAGGCTCATTCTTGGCCAGAAGTAAAGAGGCCCTGGCTAAGATAGCTGAGATGACAAAACCTGTAGTAAACCCATCAGCTGGTGCAAAAAGCTCCGGAAAGTTTACCTTCAATGTTATATCCCCAGATAAAGAAAAGGAGGCACAGGTAGGGTGTTTGTGAATGTTGCAAATTTTATAATTAAAATTTTCTTTCTTGTCAATTTCATTTTATTTATGTCGCAGCTCTATGGAATAAATTATTTGACATATTCATTTATTATCAGACCCATTTGCATTGAGCTTGATATAGTTTGACTACTGTTTTTCTCGCATATTTTCATTGTTTTGTACATCTAGGTACTTTTATGCATTTCTGAAATGGAATTATCAATTGTACAGGAATTCTTTCATTGATGTCTAGCACATTTTCACATTTTAATGATACATTGTTTTATTTTGTGCAAGGTATAAGAACTATGGGGTAAAGTTTGTAGTTCAGAGGTCACAATAGCCGGATATATATTTTTTATTTATAATGAAAACTTGACTTTGAACATCTGTATGAAGAAAATGATTAAAAGCTTATAGGATAGAGAAAGAAGCTTGCATTGCAAGCATTAATTGTCATTTATCTTACCTACACCTACTCTCCCATAACATTTTCATATTAAAGATTTAAATTCTTATTGAACATTTAAACATTAAACAGTACTATATTGTACTTACCAATATTTCTGTTTTATATTTAAAGCTCCAGGGTAACGGCAAGCAGAGAAAAGCCCATGTTCCCAAAGCAGCTGTAAAGGAAACCCGGCCGAAACAACCACCTGCCAAGAAACCAAAGCTCGACTCCCAGAGCTCATTTACAGAAAACAGTATCTTTAACCTGTTTTAAAACATGACAGTGTCATCTCGGCTCATTTATATATAAAACCGGTTTCTATTTTAAATAGAATGTATATTTTTGTAAATTATTATTTTGTAAATGGTCAGCTTTTTATTGATTATGTATACTGTAAATCTAAGTATGTTTAGATCTGTACTGTTTGAATCATGTTTTTATATTGTGGATTTTAACATACTTTTGTATATATGAATTTTTGTTAGTTTGAAATATATGTTATACTATGTTTTGAATGTATTGTGCTAAATGTATGTCTATAATTTGTATACATATACTTTTAGATGATTGAAATGGTGTATTAAATGTTGAGTTTGAATTCACATACTTTTAGTGATTTGTTCCAGCTATTACGGAATTATAGCAAAAACATGTCATTCTCAAGCACCAATTTTGTATTCAGTTATTCAGTAAATTATAGATAAGAATGTATAATAATAAATTTTCAGCTATCACATGAATAAAAATATAAAATTGACAAGATTTTCTGTTACACTGTACCAGAAATAGACATTTGGATTTGATCTTTCAAGTAATATGATTGCTCAGCTTGTTGGAATAAACTTACATGTTTTTTAACTAAAATAAGATGAACTGTAGTGCTATAATGTGTCATAATATAAATGACAGCAAATGTACCCAAAAAAAACTCACTTTATCAACTCCCTTTTTATGAGCTATTTATTTTCTATATCAAGATTTTTTCCACAATCATTACTTTCTTCATTATGTATTATATGAATAACTTGTATGTGTTTTTACCTAAAGATGAACAAATACCATTAATACTGTTAAACAAGCGAATGTTGGTAGTTATTAGCAAACCATTGGGCATTATTTGAATTCAAAATAACGTTTATGTAATATTAGTTAAAATTACTGCACAATGTAGTACATGTAGTAGGCATGAAATAGAGAAGTGTAAATTGTTAGTTTTTGGATTGAATTTGCAGAATCAAGTCTAAATTAATTGTAAGGATCAAATATTCTTTATTTAATCTAGTAAAACTTTTGGTAGTATGAAAGAATTTAATGTTGTACCCTTTATGTAACAATGTAGTTTGTTGGAAGTTGTTTTTTCAAATTATTTTTTTTAACTGTAGCAAATGCATTACATTTGTCAATATATTAATATATATTTATACATAAAATCATTTTGTCTTGAATTAAATTCATATAACCTGATGACAAGTTTTGTTTTACAAATACACCATATCACATGGTTATATAACCAGATGTTTAAAGTGTGATGCATATATTACCAGTATTGAGTTAGGCTAACCTGCTTGTCATACTGGCTGACGGGACCAAGTTATTCGCTGCACACATCTGTGCCTGAGAATGCAGGACTATGAATTCATTGATGTAAGGAATCTTGCAATAAATTGGTGGTTCTACCCAGGAAGCGACAGTGCCGAGTTGAAGCATGGACAGACAGCTGTTGTCTTTATCCGCTAGTGAAGCTTATAAATCCGCGAGTGAAGCTGGAAGACTTTGATGTGACTTTAAACCATAAAAGTTGAATGTTATCGCAGATTACTAGTATATTATGTTGGTTGGTTACTTTTGGCCCTTTCCTCCACTGGAGTTTGTTTCCCTTAAATGTTGAGGTCATGTGTTTAAAAAAGGTGGCCTCTTACGCCCGGTAAATACACTACTCTCCATACTTTAAAGTTTACTTGGCTATTCTGAAAGATTCCAGATATTTATAAAACCTTAACACTGACCTTAATAAAATGGCACAAAATTAATTTAATTACTGAGAATATACATGGAAAAGTAAGTTTTTTTTTAGCAAGTACGAATTGACTTTAATATAGAGGTAATATTAAGTGTTGAAAAGGGCGTATTGATGATAAAACGAAATGCAGTACAATAGTAGACGTCTTTTACGATAATCATTTAATAATAACTTAAGAGTGTTTTTTTTGTTGTTGTTTTTGGTGTTGTTTTTTTTTTGGGGGGGGGGGGGGGGAAGAGATGATACACCACCCATGCCATCTTCAGGACGATATCTGTTGGTCACGGACCAAGATCCGTAAATCCATCATAAAGGTTCGCTTTGAAATTTCTGTGTGAACAACAGTGTTTATTATCAACCAATGAGAAAGGGCAGGCCCGCTGTCCATCTAATAGATCTTGTTTCATTTTCATTTCCCCCTGACTATTGTCATACGTATCATATTCATTTCTTACATGTATTTATACAGTATTCTACTTTTATCTTTATTTTGTGTGAATTTTGCCAAGAAAGTGAACATTAAAATTTCCCACTGAATCTACCAGTGGCGATTAGTATATGTTGATTTTTGCAAAGTCATATTTTGATGTTTGTTTTGACATATAAACAGCTATAAATCATATACACCTAATTACCAGTTGACCTTTTTAATCAGTTTTAGGACATGGGTAATCTATTTTGGTCCGATAACAATAGCACCGTCATAGCCTTTGATATGGTGGCCAGAGTTTATCTGTTTATCCCATCTCAAGAAAAAATCGTAAAAACTGAATTTATATTTGCCCGAACTGTACGCTAAAAGTTCTTCCGTTCAAAGAAAATTAGTTTGACGGGATTTATTAATAAATGGAATATATTCCGTTCAATTTCTGCATTTTTAATCAAGTACTTTAGTTTTTGTACTGAACTTAACTCGATTATCTCATCTTGAATGATGTCGCGATATATGATCCCCATTGTGACTTCAGCAAGACAAAGGCGTGAACTAAAGGTCTAAAATATTAAAATATGTCTTAGACATTTAAATAAAGAGATAACTTGTATCAGTGATGACAAATCAAAAATGTATACAAAGAAAAAAAATAGTACCCGTTGCCAAAAATGCCTGTAATATATAGAGACAAAGAATAACAAGCCATATTGTCTACATAAATGATTTTTTTTGTATTATATCTCCCGTAAAAATACATTGTGAACCCCCAAAATAAATTTTTATCAGGTCAGGTTAAACAATAGAAATAATATTCATTGCCAAAATAAATGGCGTCTAAATAGATGAAATATTTAAATCGCCAGCTATTGCACCGCTAACATGTAAGAGGATTTCGTATGGATTTTAAACCTCACTTTTCAGGTATTTTGATAATATTGTAATAAAGTTTTTGCATAAATAGTTTGTCTGTAAATTTTTAAAGTAATGCGCTACATGATTCAGTCGCCGTTATGCGAAAAAATAAACCTTATAATACGTACTGTCTTAATGACCGTTAATACTAATAGTTAAGTTAGTTGTTGTTTTTGTTTTTTATTTATTTGTTTGTTTCTGTGAGGTTTGATTGAGCCTATAACAGTATTGCGTATCACAAAGATCGGCAGGTTTTTTTTTTACTGGACTCTGTACCAAAACAAACATGAAATAACTGTTTTCACAATTAAAAGCCAATATCTCTAATAGGCATTGAGAACGAATGGCATCAGACACCTATATTTCGTCATGAAAAATATGGTTTTTGGTCTTGGATTCAAACTGACAGATACGAAGTTTAAGAGTCCTTATCTACTAATCAAATCGGACTTGCGTTTTAATCGATATCGCAAAAATTCCGTATCTTTAATGGTAAAATGTGCTTGTAATTGCTAAAGAACATCGTTCAACACCAGGCAATAAGTACCTGAATTGTGAAGCCTGTTCTTATATAGTATTGATAAAGATAGGCGTATTTTTCAAGCTAAGATATATACTTCCATAATGTTATTAGCAATCTGCTATTTTGTATCTCTGAAATTAAGACATTTCTGTACTTATGATGATCGAGTGAAAACTTTCTTATTTCCCAGATCAAAAATGTGAATTCCCGTAAGATTTCATGGCGACGCCAACGACAGAGATCGGTCTGAAGAGGGTAAGGTTTTCCCTGGATGATGATAAGGAATCGGCTCGGAGTCCAGACGATTTTTACCAGGGACAATGGGATTTCCTCAAGTAAGATCTTTTTTACTGTCAGCCTCGTTGAAATTCATGGCCTGCTATAATTTCTAAAGATAGGGATTGAATTTTCGTTATGAAGTTCGCTAAAAACGTAAATGTCTGTCCAATACATGGCTCTTAAGAGCTTTCAAAACTGTGTTTTGAATTAATAAAGGAGTAAAGACGTACAATACTTATTATTTATTGTAAAAGTAGATCCCTTTAGCTTGTTTAATTGTATAATGTGATTTTTTCGATTTTCAGGTATTTGCTAACGTTGCGAGAGGAGTTCAACATTACAACGGTTGTAGAAAGTCTCGTTCAGAAAGGCGTCATCAGTGCAGACGCCGGAACAGACGTCATGCGTCAAGGTAATGCGCGTGCGCAGATCGAACTTTGTGTACAGGAAGTAATGAAAGGCGGATCACCGGCGTATGCGGCCCTCTGCGAAACCCTGCAAGAGCATGGTTACAGCAATATAGTAGATGCATTGAAAAGAGAGGACAACATGCATGCGTTTGTGCCAGGTAAACCTTTTAAATTTTGTTTTAACTGCCTAAAATTACTATTTGATTTATAAGCAGATAATTGCGATAAAATACAAGTATATTTGAAACAAACATACACGTGAAGAAGTGGCCTATTGGTAAGGGTTTCTGCTTGCCTAACCAACAATTGCGAATTTGTAATGTTTTGGCATCAAGACTATGTTTTCTTATATGACATCGGTACTATTAGTCAATTTTATTAAACCATTACAAAATTTTGGTTTCTTTGTAAGGAGGTATCTTTTTCTACCATAGTATTGTTGTTACATAAGTAAAATGGAAATACGTGTTTCTTTACTCAGTTAAAAATCCGAATGTGTTTTTTTCCGTACCGCTGTTTCTTAGTCGCAGTAAAGCAGTCTCCAAACATTTGCTTCCAAAACCTTTATTCTAATGTCCTCAAATCTAAAGATAGCTACATTAGTTTATACAAATTTATTTTAGTTCAATTGTGTTGGAAGCTGAAAGCTTATTGAAAAACTCTCGAATCCGTTCCTGGAACCAACCAGTATTAAGCAATACATGTAAAGTTTCTTGCTCAAGGAAACAACGGATTTCTCCTGGCAGGGTTTGAACCCACGCGGTCAGCAATCCTTAAGATTACTAGACCGATACGTTAACTATATAAGCTATATTCGTAAATACAAAAAAAAATTGTCTCTTTATTTAAAACAAATGTGTATTAATTTCAGTTATGACAGACTTTTTGCATCATTACGACTCCTTATTTAGTTCTATGTCTATCCAAAACATATTAATTTTCCCCGGCTTATATACTTTCTGTGAGATTAGATTCATAAAAGAGTTAGTGTTTCTTCCTTATAATTAACAAATAATCAGCACTTCTTCGTGTCTAGACTGTGAATGAATTTCAGACCCAAGAAGCATCCCACACTCTTGAATGACCGATCACCGTCTGTTATCTATACCAATCTAATTATCGGACGTACGCAGACGAGAAAAGTAGTCCGGAAAAGGCATATAATTTCTCAATGACCAACATTTTGGGCAATGAAAAGTGTCGGATGTTTCTAGGGGAAATATAGACAATTCCTGTAAAATTATCAAAGTTTGCGCCAAACGTTTTTAACACACACTTTTGGCGCGATTACTTGAAGTTCATATTACTCGCAAATGTCTTACACGGTCATTTTTCTAAAACATATTGTTACGTATATAATAGCAAGGGACAAAGGCGACACTTCTGAGGATAGAAAAATATATTTACCCGCTTTGTTAGTCTGTATTGCGTTGTTTTGTATCCCAATATCGCAGACCTTGTTTCTTAGACTTCTTTGAAAACATGATACTAGGAAAATATTATATTTTATATATCAATTATAATTTGTGTTGTTTTACAGAACTTTCTGATATGCAAGGCTTTGGTCCCAGAGAAAAAGTAAGTTAAATATTTGTTTTTCATTTTATTGATATCTTGTAATGTTTGTGAACTCTTTTGCTGAGTAAAAACGACATGTTTACTTCGTTCATATGTGCTTTTCTCATTAGGTCTATGCATAGTTGGTGTACTATATAAATGACTAGCAGTACAGTCCGTTATAAACGTATGTCTTAATAAATCACCATAAATTTTCTATATATGAAGACGGAGTTTAAGTAAACCGTTTGTAACGCTTTTGAAGCGATGAAACAATAATCATTTGGAGTTTTTATGCAAAATACTGAGTTGAATCAATAACGTTTTTGAAATCACTAATAATTACCCATTTAGCTATAAAAATCTTAGTAGATTTGTTCATCAGTCTGACCATAACTATTTATCAGTTTTAGGTGAACTTTGAAAATAAATACAGACTGAATAGCGAGCAGCGCAGAACTTGATCAGAGGACATTTATGTGTCCACTCATGATCTTCGTCTGCACTGGTCACCTCGGTAAAATCTGTTGTCGCCATCGGGCTAGGAACTTCTTTCCCCGTCTGTAGCGGGCTCCTACTACTGCCAATCCGACGATCTGAGCGCGATTTGGAGCTAAATATTTACTTTTTATATACGTTACATTGAAAAGCTTGTCATAAACAAAATGTATATTCATTATACGTTTGAAGTACGCAGTGTACATGTCATTCAAAATATTTTGTGTTGCCAGCCAGAACAATAGAACAATGTTTCTTTGATACAAGTGATAACAGATAGGAAGGTCGCGTTTGTCTTGTTAGATATAAACGTGCAAACATGCAACTGATATGTACACGATAAAAATATATGTCATTAGAATACGAAAAAATGTAATGATTTGTTTTGGGGTCTCCCTGGGCTGCTGATTTCAAATTTGACTTAGTTGCGACGGGTTAACACGTCGGGCTAGTAATCTATGGCCGGTTGGGTTCAATCACGCCTGGGACAAACCATCATTTCCTTAAGCAAGGAACTTTACACGCATTGCTAAGTATATATAATACTGATAGGTTCAAGAAACGAATTCGATAGTGAGTCTATAAACTGATAGCTTCCAACACGATCAAACTTAAATTAATTATGTATTAACGGTTACCATTTTAATTGAAGAATATTATTGGTATCATGCCATCCCTGCGACCCGTTTAGTCAGAGACTTGGTAGAACTAAATTTAACACTAACTTTCTAAGGACCGTTCAGTTGGTTGTTTTTATATTTGACTTGACTTTCTAATTGTAACCTGTCAACTAAAGTCCAGAAAACATTCGCCGTTTCTCTATACTGGACTTCTAAATTGGAATAGTAAATTGATGAAAACGATAAAGGTATCAATTATACCACGACAGGAGATTAATGATTAAAGACCAAATAAGCATAATAATGCATTATTTTTATTTTTCAAAAGTTTTTAATTTTTGTAATACTGTTATAGTTTCCAATAGTTACTCATTGGTCATATAGCTGTGTCATCTTTTGTTTCTTTTGCGATTCTTCCACTTGGTAAATAGTATTTTGTATGAAAGCCAAATTACCACTCTATATTTTGCTACCATTATCACAAATAAATCAAGAAATCAATCATTTTTAAAATCGTAAGAAAAGTCAACTATGTGTTTTAATAATGGATTCAGAGCATTTTATATGTTAATTACCTGAAAGAAGTAGCACTGAATGTACAATAATGTGTCATTAATGTTTCGATATATAAGGAAAGTATTTTTGATTTCCATACAAAATTCTTATTCACTTAATAATTATTATACAGAATGCCAAAGAGCAAAAGGAAAAAAAATAGTAATGAGTCACTTTATGGAAACTGTAACAAGATACCAAACATGAAAAAAATCTGTTTAAGAAATAAAAAATGATAACATTTTGAAAATTTAATTGGCCATTTGACATTAAACTTTAAATATTCTTTAGCTGATATGTATCTTACATGTCTCAATCGATTACATGTATTACAAATTTTTAAAGCACGTGTTGTTCCTTTCTTAAGAAATCATAAAGACAGCATGTGCTTTAAAGTTTGTTGAAATAGCGACTTGTTTAAGTTTGAAGAAAAACATTTTAATCTAAAAGTGTTTTACATTTCAAATACTATAGTCTGAGTTATGAATATACCATTGTTGAACGGAACTGAAGAATGAAAATAAGTTTATCATACGTCATTTCCGGTTACATAGAATCTTTTATTAGAGCTGTTTTTCTCTGGCCTAGTAACCTTCATTAGTTACCCCTGTGTCACCCTAAAACATAATTATCTTAAACATGCTGATCCAATTTCCTAATAGTAGAATGATTTTTATTATGCACTATGTTAAGTCATACAAAACTACATGTTTGAATTTAGATAAACAATGGAAACATGACAATAAAGTTTGTAGATAATGCATTTAAATGATCAAAAATATTTTGATTTGGCAGACGATAAAGCCGCGCTCAAGTATCATTTTTCAATTAAATATGAAATTATTCTAATCGGGGTATGGTCTTCTGTGTAGATTGGTATCTAAGATTTATGCTGAATTACTTTGTTTTTAAACTGAACATGTATATCTTAAATTAGATTTAAACGAAATAGTGAACAATTTACAAAAATATATATATATTTAATTATATATAAAAAGTCCGTACTGGACACAGTTTGAAAATGAGAATCTATAAATAGTTTACACTAGCAACTGGACTTAAAGTGATTTTTCCGATGTTATGAAAGGTTATAAGTTTATTACATTAAAAGGTAAATATAGTAACCATGAAAACCAAATTTTGTAAATAAACGATGATGAGTGTTTTTTTTTGTTTTTTTTTATAAAAAATGACAAAAATTATTTTAGACGTGAATTCAACACTTTATAAGATATTGAAAATAGCCCTCCAATAACAATGTACACTTACTTACATTTTTTCAAGTAGAACCAAACTGTTCTACGTAACAAAACAAAATATTAGAAACGCGTAGTTAGTGTAATTTGAAAAAGAATGCAAATCAGTCATGAAAGAAACTTTTTCTCTATTTGTAGCAGACACACTGGAGTCAAAGTGCATCTCTTGTCAACCCGGATGAGATGGCGGTGCAGGGTAAGAAAATGTCACTGGGAGCATTGGCACGAGACACCAAGGCGTCACAGAAAGAATTCTCCGTTATAGTAGAACGTCAGCACGAGCTAGAAAAGCAGCTTGTGCAAGTGATGAAGTCCTTGGATACCGCTAAAGACATGCTTATTCGTGAAAGACAAGAAAAACTTGGACTTAGAGAACAGCTTAAAGGTCGAGACGAAGAATTGGTTGGAATGCAAAGAAAGTATTTAGAGCTTCAGAAAGCTATGGCTAATCTAAGAGATACAAACAATAAATATCACGAAAAGGTGACAAAGTTACAAATAGAAAACGAGACACTACGACGTGGTATGAAAGACAGGGATGAAATTGAAGGTGAACTCAGGGAACGCAATAGTGAATTGGTGCGCTTGAAAGAAGTATTAAATAGACAGGAGCAACAAATGAAGACGCAAGAGGAACAGATTGTCCAAAAACTTGATATGATTGAGAAAGTGGTTACTGAACACAGGGGTTTGATAGACGGACAAGATAAACTGACGAAGAGAATGTCACAGCAGCAGACGGACATTGTTCGTCTCTCTGAAGAAAAATTAGAGGCGCAAAATCAAATGGCGGCACAGCAGCGTCAGCTGAACTTCCAACACGCCCAGATCGTGATGTTGCAAGAACAAATGCAGAGAATGGAGGCGCATATAAGTCAAGGGGCGACTGGAGGAACGTTGAGACCGGAAAGTCTGCCCCCGGTAAATACACACCCTACAACGCCTGTTGGAGATAGCCGGGGAGGTCGATATATCGCGTCGCTTTCTAAAGGAATGAATCTGAGACCGTTTAATGCTCAAGGAAAATTAGAGAACTCCAAGAACTCGTTTTGGAGAAGTGATCCTTCATCTAAGAAAAGCAAATGAGAAAAATAACTCGCTAGCATATTTAGATGTTTGTGTTACATAAATTTTTGTGACTGTCACATTAAGTATTACAGTAATTGTGTTCATTTTTATTCTATTTCTCAATTGACGTCATTATTTGGATGTATTATATTTTCATTTCTATACTTTTCACATTGAAAGCATTTGTTGTTGTGTTAAAGGGAAATAATTTGATTTATTTATAATTGATAAAGTGATATAAATTCCTCTTATCTATTCTTAAGTTAGGAATTAACATTATATATACAAATGTCTGACATATTTTAGGCAACTTCCGGCGGTTAGATTCTTGTTTTAGTGAAACTTTTTTTTCCACTCTATATCGTTATTTTATCGACGGTTATCAAATTTAAGACAACACTTTTTAACATTGTCAATAACATTTTGAAAGTATTATTTAAATCAAAGTATGAACCTATATTTTTCTACATACACCATGCCAATTTCTTTTTCAAAGTTACATTAAAACGATGGTTGGTTGTTTCTTGAGCATTTATGGTAAACGTGTTTTAATGTTTTGACGTACACTTCAACGGATAATACACACACTGCAGATAACGAAATCTGCATATATCGAACATGGTTGTTTTGTACCATATACTTTGTTTATGTGTCACATTCACTGCATATGTAACAATTCCAATACAATGTTTGAATGAAATATATGTATATTACAGTAAACATTTTTATATCAGTAGTGTTTAACTGTTTTCTTCTATATTTTTAATATTACAATTCCATTACAAATGGTATTGTGAGGTTTTACAATAGGAAATAAATGTTCAATTGAAAAACGGTGTTATATGAAATATTTACGTTGTTATAAACAGCAACCGGAAGTAATTTCATGAAAAAAAAGAGTCTGCTGTAGCAACAATAACAGCTATTTCCTACAAAAAGAAACATTATAAGTCATTTCAAGCTGTAGGTTCTGTACCAATTTACAGAATTGTTCTCAGTCTGTACATCTTTATTGTACATGTACATAAGTGCTAGCTATCTACATATATTCTCAGACTGTACACAAGTGCTAGCTACGCATAAAGTGTACATAAATGTTCTGTACCACATTTACTCTTGTACATAAGTAAACTAAAGAAAGTGCTAATTATACTCAATTGATGTTCGGTATACATGTACTCTGCAGTGGTGCTGGACACAAGAGTGCTCTGTACATAAGTGTTTAGCTCTGTACATAAGCCTTAGATTTTATGATGAGATCCTTCAAGAATACAGGTGGTTTTTAAATGAAACATTTTATTCGGCAGATGAAAATCGGTTGCAAAAATTTACTTATTCTGTATTGGTAGGACGCATTGTATCTTACAGCCTCGAGATCTAACAAAATCATTCGAGTTATCAAAAAAAGCCACGCCATATCCGGTTATGTTGTAGCATACACTGATATAAAACCGGTATTAAGACTATTGATGATGCTTACAAAATATGTTAAAATGTTCCAAAATCCATGCTGCAAATATTGTAAAGTTCTTTGGAAAAGGAAATTAAATACAAACAAAAAAGATTATTCCAGAATGACCTCGATGTTGAATGACCTCTGTCCAGTCACTGATAAGTAACTTAAATATAACTGGTAACCGGAAAGTGTCAATTTTAAAGTAAACTTTGTAACATTTGGCAAAACGCAATGACAATTATAAATACAATATTACAATGTACTTAAATCTAGCCTGGGAACAATAGACATACAGGAATGGAACTGACTTCGGCGATTCTGTGGTCCTCTTTGATAAAACCAGAATTTCAAGAGGATATCGATATTAGCTTTTTTCCTGGAGTAGTTACAGATACTTCAGCTATTGTTCGGCTATCGCTGCGTGGGGCTGTGATAACGGAAAACCGTCGCAAACTTACAATCGACCGTGTTTCCTTTAATTAAGGTGAAAAGTTGACAGAAATTCAATGCTCTGCAGTATGTAACGTATCAGGCAACAAACGGCCGCACAGTTATGCCTATGGGAGATCTAAACGTCTTTTACAAATCACTTTCTTATTACGAGTAAACTATTCACTCAAATAAAACCTGTAATTTAGATCTGATTTTTTATTTCCTTGGCAAATATATAAAAATGAAAATAGAAAACAAGAGAAAGTATACAGATGCATGTCTTTTGTTACAATTATTTTTGTATATGGGTAGTTAACTTTTCTAAGACATACTGTACATGCATGGTGAAACCATGTAGATTTACCAAAACATTGTGAAAAAGAAGTGTTTTCTGTGCTTGGACATAACCACGGTGAATAAGTGACAAAACTATGATTTCCTTCTTTCCGGTTTTACTGTTTTGTCTCGCAGAAAAATGCATTATTTCCAAGCCCTGTCCGAAATTATTCATTTGATACGGTACTTGGATATGACAACTTGAGTCACAACTTCATGACTTTCATATCGCAAACGCCGCCCACTAAAAACATGCAAACAACATGCATTTCAAAAGCAGTTTTTCATGAAACAACTGCAAGTACATGGTAACAGTCACCATGATTAAAGTGGATTTTATCTATTGATTTAGATTTAGGAGATATCTCGCTGTTGCAGCCGGTAGAATGACGTCAACCGGAAACGCTAAAACAGAAACATGTCATTTCCGGAAACGAAATTGTTAGCAATTGGTCGTTATATTGAAGTTTGCTTGTTTCCTACGATGTTAACTAGAATAAATGAGACTCAATCTAGATAATGTTAACAATTTAGATTATCTTCATGAAACTTTTTGTATGTTTGCATTTATTTTAAAACATTGTAGCCATTAATGTAACTGCTTCTTTAGCTTTATGATCTGTTTTAATACTATTCCATCTTCACAAGCACTTTTATTACTTGTACTTAATTAGGCGACAAGTCATCTAGCGCTGTTTCACAAAATTAAAGCATAACATTATAAATTGTGTCGTCTGCGTTATTATAAAAAAAGTCATATTTAAAGGGTATATTCTAGTTTATTTCTAAATACGTAATAGATCTATAAGTCTCTGTGAAATTTCTCTAAATGGCGCATGCGCGATATAATCACTCAGGTTTCTGAAAAAAATTAGTTTAATATTTTCTAAGGGCACGATTTCTTCATATACATGTATAATGCATGCAAGAGCACTATCAAGATATAACCTTTACAGCATGAAAACAATGTGATTATGCACTTTTGGAAAATGTTCTAGTATATTTCATCAATATTTGACCTGTAACATCATTTAATCATCCAAAATACCCCCCCCCCCCCCTCCACCGTCTCAAGGAGATAGCTCACACAGACGTCACACAGATTTATGGTTACGTTTACTTTTTCTCTTAGTCGGTTTTCAAACGTTAACTCTAATTTATAAGATACTTAATTATATATACATTTGGATTTTTCAAAAGCTCCATGGTCAATATTGAATTGTTTACAGAAATCAATTTGGATACCAAAGTAAACAGGTTTTTAATAGGATTGATTTACATTTCAACTCTTAGTTGAGTCTTACGTATGTTTAAATACTTCAAAACAGATATATTGGGATTATAATCGAAACGAGATGAAGTACAATCAGTTTGTGTTTTTCGGGGGTTTATATCATTTTGACCTGAAAAAAAACTGACTTTCGTGTCATTTTATATCAAAGTATATTCTGAATGGGAAATTAAAAGCACCTTATTTCATTTATATTATTATAAGTAAAAAGAACATGTATTTAAACAAGAAAAGCAGTATTTTTATTATTTTTTCATTATGAAAGGCATATTTAAACAACTTGAAGGCCTTATGTTTATTTAATAATAATGCTTATCAAAGTGAAAAAAAAGATTGTAATGAAGCTATTCATATTGATTATAAAAGACTTCATTTCACAATTGAAAGTTAGATGATTTTTACTTCTATTACCAAAGAAAGCAGACAGACATGTATATAAAATGCTAAAGAAAATCGTCTGCTTTCATCAAACAATAAAATACACTTTAGATGTAAAAGTGTTAAATCTTATAAACTTTAAAGCAATAATAATAACCAATTTATCAATGAGATTTTTTATATATAAAGCAGGAAGTACAACACATATAGGAAGTTATTTTATAAGACAAAAGAAAGCTATAAAAGATATTTATATTCATAATAAACAGCTTTCTTATCATCACTATTTGAACTATTTTAGCTTTATCATAATGCATCATTCATATGTACAATTAGATTATTCAGAACTATTTTTACATTATAAATGAATGTATCTCAAAAGTTAGAAAATGTATAATTACAATACATTGCTTTATCCTGGTCAATTGCTAACCATTAAACTAACTTCATGAAAACAATGAGATTATGTACTTTTGGATGTTTTTTTTTTCTGAATAATTAAGTGTCATCCTGTCGGGTCATTTGGTCCATATAGTGCACTATAGGTACACATGGTGTGCACTTCTAGTTCATATGTAGTGCAAGGGCGAGAGGTTTAATTCAAACTCAAACGTAATCTTACTAGAAAATATGCTGCTACACAATTTTGTCCAAGTCATTTCCCTGATTCTTCGATGGAAGGACAACATGGAAGGCTGCATTAACTAATTCCACTTTCTTTCTGAAACCTTGATTCAAACTTACAAATTCAACATTCTAAGAAAAACAGCGTTCATCATCCACACTAACTAAACCCCCTAACCTTACTGGACAACTTTTATAGAATTTCAAAAAAAAAAAAAATGTCAGAACAAAATCTAAGTAAGAGCTAATGGGGAATTGTTTGTGATAACACTTTCCGTGTCGCCTTCAACAGGACAAGAACGATAAAAGTCTTCCTCATCCACAGTCATAAATAAAACATAAGCCATAAAAATAGTTTTGAATGGTACTTAAAACAGTTGAGAGATGCCGGTACCAACTTAATATCTTTTCGAGTGTATCTATAATCGAATGGTTATCGTCACATTTAGATATCGAAGCGTTGAAGCACCACAATTCATTCTATTCTGAATTATGACCATTTAACGCCTCCTTATCAAAAAAATGTTAAGATATTACGAGAGCATAATACGTTTCGTTTTTGTAATGTAGCTTCCTATTTTAATGAACCTAATTTTGGCATTTGAGTCGTGTCACGACAAAACCAACATAATGGGTTTGCGACCAGCATGGATCCAGACCAGCCTGCGCATCCGCGCAGTCTGATCAGGATCCATGCTGTTCGCTTACAAACCCTATTACAAGTAGAGTAACTGATAGCGAACAGCATGGATCATGATCAGACTGCGCGGATGCGCAGGCTGGTCTGGATCCATGCTGGTCGCAAACCCATTATGTTGGTTTTGTCGTGACGCGGCTCATTTTTGGCATTTTGTTTTTAGAGTTTTGTAAATGATATAGAAATCAGCTGATTCATCCGCCTACAAAAGTGAGACGATTTTATAATTATACGCCTTATGAATTTTCATAATGTTTACACACACTTATGTTTGCATTAAATTTCAATTAAGATCTATTAACATAACACCCACATTTATCCCCCTGTAAGACAGAAAGTCCACATTTATAAGTTTATTGTAAATTTGACAAAAGAATGATTTATCATAATACATCATTTATAAAAGACAAAAATGACAACAGTGTTGTAAAATCTAAATATTATCCTTTGCAAAATATGTAAAGTGAGAATTACATGCACACTTGCGAAAAGTGTTTTTAACCATCATTTCAAATTTAACTGTTTGCTCATTTGCTTATTTGAACAAATAAGAAAACAACCTTTTTTCAATGTAGACCCTTACGTTACTCTATGGATATATCTTTCATGGGCATACTGTGGCTTTCTATATTATAATCTTTGGTTACTGCAAATCCCCTATTAAGAACGTCGTATGCAGCCGTCCATCAATGTATCAACAAATTTCTGAATGTTCAATCTCGCATTTACTTTGTTCTTTCATTTTTGTTTCTTACTGTTTGGGTGATGCAGGTGGCTGAAAGATTTACATTATTTTTTAAAACTTATCATTCAACAATACACTGTAAAGTAACAGTTATTTATAAGTCGAAGATCGGTTACCTCAAACGCGTGTACTTTGTACAAACAGAACTTTGTACTTGTATTTCGTGACCATTTTAATAACTTAACACTTTAATACCAACTTGAAGCATTTTTCTCTCTCAATATTTTACATGCAAATGTTAACAATTTAATGCATGAGCAGTCCTAGGAATTAACCCCGATGCATGATGTTTCACTTTAATTCTAAATGGAAATAGGAAGGCGAATATAATTATTGTTTAATATATAATTTTAGTCACAGAAACGTGCGCTGATTTTTATAAAAAAAAAAATGAAGACAATGGAAGGTTTCCGTGCGTCACATGCCACATTTAACATTTCTACACCTAAGTAATTGTATAAATTACATTCATAACATCGCGTTGTTCTCATTAATCAAATTTAAAAGTAACAAGAGAACGTTTTCTATCTCAATATATATAATTATTAATCCATAATAATGACTTTTTGGTAGGTGCGTTTTCGTAAAGCAAATTGTGAACTACTTTTAGTTGCGCAGTGATAATGGTGTAATTGAACTCCAGTCGCTTAATAAAAAACGTTAATTTCACGGCAATTATGCGTAATTCACGATCGGATAAATTGTATGTGCATTGAATAAATCCAACACTCAATGAAATGAATTAATGAATAATGCAACTGTAATGAATGGAAACGATTGTTGCTACATTTATAATCAATACCATTGTAAACTCTTAAATACCTCTTATATAGTGAATGAAAAAAAAATAATATTCCTCTCTAAACATGGTCATTTTAATGACATCCAGTTTTCATTTTTTGACACATATTTTTTCCACTTTTAGTGGATTAACTTTCTTTGTGATGTATACTATTGCTTTCGTTCGTTTTCTTTTTCAATGATGAATTTTCAAGAGCAGATAGTTTAAAGGGACAGTTTTTGTATTTTAAAAATATATCACATCACAACAAAAACAACAACAGCAGCAACAATAAGAAAAATAACAACAAAAAGACACACAGAAAAAAACAAAAAACATTTTACATGGTTATTAAGACTGTGTGCGGGAAAAAAACACCTTTATTAGAGCGACGCCGTAATTTCTAATACAGACCGATGTCAATACACACCTTTGGCTGGATTCATGACTATATATTAATATCATGATAATACTATAAAGCTTTGTGTACACATCTTCAAAGTTCCATTTGGCGATTTGTATTAGCAAAAGCAGAAAATTCTTGATTTAAACAGAACCAAGCTGTCTAACATGAACTCTTGTGGGGAAGTCGCCCACTATAGCTGACATGCCTTAAAACGCAACAAAAAGAATGATAAATGTTTAATTATCCTAAGTTTATTATTTTACAGACAGTCTGAGATTAGACTGTCAATAACTGACAACAAACGCAAACATACAGAGCTATATATTACAAGAACTCGTGTCATCGCCAGCTTCATTTAATCGATTGATAATCCTCTAGAAATATTTGTAAGCTGACACCGGCTTTATTTCATTGTTTTTGGATTAATAAAACTAAATAAACACAACCCATTCAGCCGCCGTGCTAGGTCGTGACCCGTTTGGTGATCGATGGTTTATTGAAATGGGGAGAAATTTACGGCATTGCTGTCATTTTTGATAAAACATTTATATTACTGTTTCTATAATTAAAGGATTGACCAATGACGTCATGTCGTGAGGGTTGCCTTGATTAAACATTGCTCATAAAAGTTAGGAATAATAAATAATAAATAAAAAGTCGCACATGAAGATCGGCGCTGTGACAGTCGCAACTTTTTACCCTTTCCATCAATTACATAATCGGGGAAGTGTTCCGAATGGTTGAAGCGCATTCGGAACTTCTTGTCTATTTCCCTTAATCCTTTATCGAAGGCAGACGAAAATTGCACACAACGGTACTTTCCCATGTTTATTTCGATAGTTTCAACCATTTATCTATTTGTATAAATTCAGTTGTATACAGATCACTTTTTTATAGTTCAATGCCATGATTGACATGTTTATCATCACCAATTTGTTTTAATAAGACAGTGTATAAAATGTAGCACTTATGCGCGCCTTTTCAAGTAGAATTTCAGAAATTTATGTTTTAAAAAACGCAAAGTGCGTGTCACAGACATTATATTAAACCCTGTAAAACACTTGACGTGCAATGAGATATTTCAGGAAAAAAAAACAGAAAGAAAAAAAAGAAATCTTAACGACGCCCCCATTCCACTTAAAATTTTTAGCCGAAGCAGTCCGTCTGATTAAACGGAAATAAAAATGTACCAACTAATTCAAACCAAGCTGTTTCAGTTATAATATATTAACAGTTACTTTCTAAAGATGGGGGTCGGTTGTCGAACCCACGGTTCCTGGTATCGCAGCGATAACACGTATCAGCTTCAAGAATATGTATCAGTTTTCAATTGTTTCCAATATAAGAGGCATTTTATTGCATACTGAAGTCACATAAATATACCATACACAATGGAACAATTCACTTTTTACAATATCGGGTATAAATTCCTATTTTACATACCTACTTTATCACGAACAATTCATAACCAATGGCAAAATTTAGCTTTCAAAAGTGGTTATACGAAATATTTTTTTTCAGGATATTTTTCGGGATATTATCGGGATATTCGTTCAGGATATCTTTTTTCGGGATATACAGTGTATTCTGTAGAATCTAAATCACAAAGAACGATAGCTGTCAACCCCATACCCTCCCCGATACATGATTTTTCAATGCCAATTAATACCTTTTTTCTTGAAGAGTAGCCTATATTATCACTAAATATATAAAACTAATTAAACTGTATGATAACTATGATCAATGACCGGTCCTGATGTACCAAGAGAGACCATTTGTCGCAATCTATAAATTATTGATGAAACCTTGTACCCTGTAACTTTCCATCTTCAATTTGTAGACATTTTCCCACGTGCAGACGGAATAACCCTATTGACCAGTAGCGTTCTTATTGTTTTCCTGGACTAAAGGCGGATTAAGAAGGGGCAAAAATGAGACGGATTTTCTATTCTTGCAGATAAGAACGGCTATTTATTATTCGAAATATTACAGTAAATACACTAATTTATCTTCAAGTTTTATAGACATGGTGCATTTACAGGCAATAATAGAAGAACTGGGTATCTCTGATTACTATTTGTGTTGACATGGAATATTTACTGTATGGGAAAACGAACAATGTAGCCGGATAAGGAATTGACGCGTATGAATTTATTAGCGTTTATTGTGAAAATAAATCCGGTTTCGCGGGAGCATCGTTTTAAGGCTTCCATTTACCCAAATCAACACTTTTTTCTGAATTTCGTATATTTACTTTCATAGGAAAGTCCCTTGAATATGAAATATTCTTTTTAAAAGGAAACGTTAGTTATTTCCTCTATTATAACGTAACTATTATCAGACTTCTTAATTAACTCTCCAGCAAACATAAAAAGTCCGATGAATGTACTATATATCTATCTATTTAAGTCAATATCAGTTATTATTTTCTCCATTTGTGAAGAGCAAAAAACTGTCGTCTGCAACTTTTTTTCGCGTCTTAAAATTGAATAGCAATGAAAAACTTTTCATTCATCTGGGCAAATTGGTTTCTGATACCTTAAATAGTAAAGTTATTCTGCATATATTTATTCGCCCTGATAGATAATAAACTAATTTACCGGTGGGGAAATTAGATGCTAAAGCAACGTATTAAGTTTGAGATTGGATTTCTTTATTTAGAAAGTAAATCTACCTTATCTTAACAATTGATTATAATACGCTGAAATTGACCATAGAAATAGTGGATTATTCAAACGTGATGTTGTCTGTTTGTACTAAATGCTATAAAAACAAACAGTAAAATCGACAAAAAGAGACGAGAATTTTTATATAGGAAACACTCTTATAGACAAAAGATGGCTTAAAATAATGTAAACATAGCAAAAAGTCAAACATAACCGCGAAGACTAAAATCACACACGTGTTTTAATTTATTAATGGATTTTAAAGCGATTCAGCTGCGCAGACGTCTATAGACTTTCGATTGAAATTGAGACTCAATAAGTATACAACTACAACATAGCATTTCATCCGATTTCGTTGGCGATGTAAGCCATGAAAGGGCGTATTTAAAAAAAGTAAATACATCTGGAGTGAGTGGTGTATTTGAAAAGAAGGCTGACTCCACTTAAATACGTACTTATATACGTGCATACAAATGGAAAGTTAAATATTACTTAAATGCACAAATACTTGAAAAAAGAATTTACAGGCGCTGTAAATGCCTAAAATTTATCTAATTGAAATGGGTTATATACAAAAAAGAAATATAGATCTACATGAATTGGAATTTAAAAGAAAAGCAAAGTTAAGTGGAAGTGTCGCTGTAAAAGACGGAATCATGTGAAAGTGGAGGAGGCGTTCATAGGCAGTTTAAAGTTTAACGGATTTATATTATTTCGAATTTAAGTTTTGATATATAAAAATGACGGTGCATGAAGGAATGGGTACGGGGATGACCGACAGCATCCCTCCGCCGGTTAACAATGCATGTGTGCCGGATATTTATAATAAATTGGACGCAAACGCAATAGAAAAAACAAAGGTTATGAATATGCAATTAAACTACAAACTAAAAATTCAAGAAAAGGTGCTTACAAAATATCGTAATGCCGCAGAGCAGAGATATACCCGCGAAAGAGATAAACTGCGGATGGATTTAAGAAACATTTGCCGGCGAATGCCAAATTATGCGGATATACCTAAATTAGAAACAAAGGTGAAAAAGTTACGTAAAGGAAAGAAAGCGAAATACGCTCCAAAACATGACTGTGTGTTCACGACAGAACCTTTAGATATGAAAGGAATTTCTGAAAAAGACGAAAAACCATTCTGTGATAGATTCTTAACACATCACTTGCCGACGAAGTCTCGATTTTATCAGGATGTACTCCACTCGGTCAAGAAGGGTATGAGTATGCCTGACCTAAGACCTCGTCCCAGTGACCGGTACAGGAGAGTTGTACCGTTACAATCGCATCACCTATCCCAAGATTCCCTGTCGCCTCCGACAGACGACTCTCTGTCTCCTAAACTACTTCCGGTAATCAAATCGCTCGATGATACTTACCTGTCATCAAAGTCTCGACTACTCGATGATGACGATGATGATGACGACATAAAAACAGTTTGATAAAAGTTAGACCAATTAGTTTTAGTTTATTCAAGTGAAACAAATGAATAGTATTTATGTTGTTTTTTGCCGAAAAGTACATATGATTTTAAGTGTGACTTTAATAATCATAGAAGTTGGCTCACCAACGATACGGTTTCTTACATAGAAAATTTTACGGTTACGATAAATATTTTATTAAAGCAACATTATTACAGTTGCAACAGTAGTGTATGTTACACTTTCATAGAATATGGAGTCCCCAAGGTACTTTGTGCAATGTTTTATTCATTTATACTTTTTAATGGCTTTTTTGTTATTGATTTTTGTTATTGTACGTTCTCTAAAGTGAGAGATCATCTGTATATAATTATAACAAGCAATCAAGTGTTTGCTCTGTCTCACGCAATGAATAAAATGTAATAAATATATGTAAATGATACATTATTTGCCGACACGTTTTTCGAAATATTCTCAACCGAATGATTTAAATAGGGTATATATAACAATCACGATTATTAATGAAATGAAATTTGATTTAAAGGCCCATTGTGCCTGAGAAATGCTACTATCTTCATTTCTCAAAAACTGTTTTCGATTTTTTGGTATCTTGTTACGGTTTTTAAAAATTCATGTTTCCATATACATAAACTGTCTTTTGCTGATTTTGTCATGTTGGCAATTGTTAAAATTATAGTGAATAAGTATTTTGTATGGAAGTCAAACACTACTTCGTTTTATATTTTGCTACCTTTATAACACAGAACTGTATGTTCAGCACTACTTCTTCAGTTGTTAAACATGTAACATTTTCTTAAACCCATGATCAAAACATTATCAAACACATGTTTAACATTTCTACAGAATTAAAAAAATATGAATTTTTGAAGAATAATATGCCTTTAATTTTAATTTAGTAATGATGATTGAATATTAAATATAGAAATATCTACATCTTCTTTATACTGTTTGCAAAACGTTCTTAATTGAGGGATATAGAGACAAAATTATTTCATGGAAATAAAGACAAAATTCATATTAATACAATTTCTTAATCATTAATACATTTCCATTACTTAATAATTTGATTCTATTACTCTTATAGGAAATAGTACATAAATGATTATCAGTTGTGATGGAAGACATACAAATGTGTTGAGGTTTTTCTTGACACTCCGGTTTCACCGTCAACAAACTAGAAACAGAATCCGATTTTCTTGTACCGTTTGACTTACAAATCAATTAAGTAAATTTCATTAATGGAAAGAAAACGCTGATATAAGAAAACCGCCATTCCGATAAACGTGAACGATTTGACCTAGGGTCTTAATGACTTAAAATTTTCATAGACTTAATGAGGGGCAACATTACACAATCGTTTGTTATTATATCAATATAGTGTATACAACTAATAAAATATTTACAATTTACTGATATAATATTGGTATCAGAAAAATAAATAGCTAAGCTTAAGTCCCTTAATATCCGAGCGTGAAGAGGATTATTACTTTTATTAGTATTTTGTTTTGATTATGTTGTTTCTTTTGTGTATACTCTGATTCTGTTATTGCATAAATTAAAAAAGAACACGAGATTATTTAGGCTTTAAGTTGATTTATATAAGTTTTTATACGATATTTTCAATCAAATCTTTGGTTTCAGAATTATTTTCTTACTAAAGCTATCAGATGACAAAGAAAAAGCTTATTAACCCATTTTTTTATTTATGTATTTATTTACGGATGCGCAGGCTGGTCTGGGTCCATGCTGGTCGCAAACCCATTATGTTGGTTTTGTCGTGACGTGGCTCATTTATGTTTGTCATCCCATAAATTGTGAAACAAGACAGTCTCTTTTTTTTCAACAAAATTTTATATTGATAATAATCGGTTTATTTAAAATTCACATCAGCTTTAAAGCTGCAGACTCCAGATGAGCCTAAAATATGTCAAGAAAATCAACCTTGAGAAAAAGTTACTAAGACTTAAAGAAAAGCAAAAATAAGAATTCAAGAAATAATTTAAGTGCTATATGGAATAAATGACTGATATTACAGCAATATTTACCATATTTTTGTATTGTACTGCGTGACTAACGCAGTAAGGACTATTTTTGCGTATTCTGACCTATTTTTTTGGCATTTTTTGTAAATTACTTTCTTTGTTCACTTGAGGAGGATATTTACATTTTAAAACATTAAAACAAGTCATGAATATAATAGCATGAATCTGGAGGCATGCAGTTTTAAGTCTTACATGTATTAAGTATACGAACCATCAATGAAAAGGTGCAACATTTTCAAATTTTCCGTGTCGGGCATTCCTTTAAACACATCTAGAACTTGTTTGCATTTTTTTCAGTCTTTGTATTTGATAGAGTCTTTTTTTGGTTACCTTTTCAGAATCTAAGAAAGACACTATTCGCGAACATCGTTTAATTTTGAACACATGCATTGTTAATATTCATGTATCCCAGGTAGCTACCGACGCTATGCCTAACAACCGAAAGCGACATTTTCATAAAGGGCGCCAAATATAACGCCTAACCAAAAGGCAATGAAGATGTTTTAACTACATTTGTATTTTGTTTATGTAAATTGTATGTTGTATGTTACAATTATCAATGAAAATAGAAAAGCGCATACGATCAATCAGTTTTACCATTGTAAACGGCAAGAATAAACCGTATAATCAGTAAAATCGTGTAATTCATTAAATAATACAGGGTATCCGGACCAAAATATCCGTCTTTTATAGCAATTATTTTCACTCTGGCACATAAGCGACCCTCGGTTGTCGTTAAAGAAAAGCAGACGATCAAAAGTGACAATCGGACAATGGCTGTAAATAAATATCAGAAGTCGGACCATTTCAATAAGATCTGACAATCTGTAAGGATGTTCAGGCGATTAAAAGTAGATATAATTTGTAAAGTAAACACCTAAGCGACCTTGACAAGCAAAAATATTGATTTCTCTCGCATTGATGGCAAAGAAATATTGTTCTTACTGCATTCAACTTGTCAGATTTAATAACAAGCTCTTAAAAAGATATTGAAGCAGTTTCAATAGCCTTTTTATGCTTAACAAAATATTCACGTGATGTTTTAAAACCACTTGGTACAGAAACTTTGTGTTCTGCATTATAATTGGTGAATGTAAACACATTCGGATAACATTCAATTCCCTTCTGATATAAATACGGAAAAAGAACGCGGCCACACATGGCGATTATGGAATATGAAATGATTTGGCATCATTTTCACATCTTATGACTGATAAATAATCAATTCATTTTGAACTCATTACGTCATCCAATGATGTTTGCAAAATATTGTCTTTTGATTGCTCCAGCATAATTATGTCACGGTGTTTAAAGAAAGCACACTTAAAAGACATCATACTGGTTGCATTTCTATACATGCATAGGTCATTGCTCCCATGTTTTTGAAGCTTGAGTACATTTGAGAAAAACAGGCTTTGTATACGTATTCACAGAATATTTTCTGCGAGTCTGTGATTCCGGGATCTTTTGTCGACTGCGCTAGTAAATGTTGCTTTAATTTTTGTTTTTGCGAAATGTTAGCGAAATAATCAACAGAAACGCGTCATATATTTAATTGCAAAACATATATTAACATGCATATAAATGTTTAGTAGCGATTATATTCATAGATGCTGTACAATCTCTAAATCCTAGTGCTAAATGCCAACATACTAGTATGATAACCGAGTGACGTACACTAAGAAGTTGTCATGAAACTTGTGCAATACCCGGATATGAAGAGCAGAAAGTAAGGAATTAAAGACCTGGCAATCTGAAAATAATAGTCCACTAATAAAACCGGACTCATAGAAATATTGCACGTTATTTCTTCCTATTTACATCATTGCATAATTAATAAGAACATTATCCGCTGGTTTTAATATGTAAAAAAAATTGTATCTTTCTAGACAGTGTATTTCAAAACCCCTGGTCCAAACAACTAGTCATTAACCTTCAGATACATAAATGTACATTAAATATTTCTTAACATGGTCATTCTATTACAAGTTATTGTGATTATATAATGCAATAACACCGAAAAATTGTTTGCCTACATCCAATGAAATATCATAAAATTCATAAATGGTAAAAATTATTAATTCTATTTTCATTTTCAATTACCGTCGCAACAACACTGAAAAGGTCATGTGGCGACTTTCCAGCTTTACTAGTCAAATAGTCAAAGGAGACCTCAGGTCTCCCCTCCGTGCATTATTTCAGGCACAGACGGGCACCTGAAAACAATAAACGTTCAGTAATCTAGCTGGAAAGTTCTTGAATTCAGCACAAGAAATCTCATGATGACGCCAATTACTTCAAAGTTTTACAATCTATTCCATTACACATGAGTTGAGTTGCATATTTGGCTCAATAGAGAAAAAAACACAACCAGAGCCATTAATTTTAAATTTGAAACAAACTAAACACTAACACAAATCATGTTTTAAAATTTTGTGTTTTATTTCATGTTTTAATAGTATCACAGAATAACTTGGTTCTCTATCTATAATGCATTAAAATAAATACAAGAGCAACAAAAAAATGATAAATACATTGCCAACCATGAACACTTGCTGTGGTAGAACAGTGAACCACCAAACAACTCCAAAAATATTATATAATAATAATTTATACTGTTTTATTTTTGCTTCACATGTCACTAACAAAGTAAAATTTTTATTGGTGTTAATAATGAATATGCATATGTAGACACAGGGTTGTTTTTTGAGTTTCCATTCAAAATCAGCCAACAGTGTTAAAATGTCTTATGGCAACTTTTATGTTTTATTGCTGCAGGAAAACGCTAGGAGTTTCTTCATGCAATATTTCAGTCACAAACTGGCACAGGTTTAATACTAGCAACCATCAGTAAACTAGACAGGTTGCTTCCTCTCATAAAATAAGCCAACGCTTCGACTCAGAATCGGACCCACAGCAGTAATGAGCAAGTGATTGTAAAACTGCAACCATAACCACTCAACATAATGTAAGTGTTGTAGACAAATACAAGTATCAACTAAATGTTTACATAACTTCCAGTGAGATATTTGAACAAGACACAATTTCTAGTATAGCATCGCTGATAACAGGAGCACCGCATACGATGCTGACCCTCGTCTGTTAAAAAAAATGACTAAAAAATAATCTCGGTTCTTTTGGACTCCACCTCTACTCAGTAAGATGAATAATTTTGTTAATTTTAAAGATATTCAGTTATTTTCATAGTTCAATTATTTTCCAGTTGAAAAAGGTACGTAACTCTAGAAATAGAATAGGACGTCATACTGAACCAATTGCCCTACACACTGTCCCCAAGAATATGTACAACATCTTTTAGTTGTTTTTTTTCTCTCAATATTTTATCAATAACCAATTTTAATAAAAATTCTTAGATAAATAGGGACATAACTTAAAAATTAATACTATCGGGATAATGCTCCTTGTCTCATAACTGCATCACATCATGGCAATAAAGTATTCCAAGCTTTATGTTGATTCAATGATTGTACAAATGATTCTACCTAATAAGCAATTTTGACAACTCTTCTAAGTTAAGAAGGGACATCACTCAAATATAGCTTTTAAAATAATGCTGCTTGTCTTACAATTCCAGTATTCCAAGATTCATTTTGAAAACCTTTGACAGTTTAGAAATCATTTGAAATTAATAAGCTGTTTTGACAAAAGTTCTTAGTTAAAAAGGGACACAACTCCAAAATTATATAATGCCATTTTGTATTCCTACAGTGCCTTATCTTAATAATCAAAAGCAAGCATTCAAAGATTAGTGTTGATATCGTTCATACTTTAAGAGAAATTGAAGGTTTTCTAAGATTTCATCATCAACAACCAAGTGATCATAATAGTCCGATTTTGAATTCTATGAAGCAGACAAGCCTAAAATCATCCCAGCAATGCTGGACTCAAAAATAAATATTCCTTACCAAAATGAGGCAAGTTAAATAGTAAACAAGAAACATGGCAATGCCACGAAACCAGGTTTTCAATTATCTCCATTGTAGATAAATATGTTGTATTTGTAATACAAATGCAAGCAATAAACAATGTAACTATGTGCAATGTAAAACATGAATAATGTAGGAGGAATTGCCACAGAAGAAGTGTTCACTGTATATTCTGTATAAGGAAAAAATGTATTCTGTATAAGGAAAAAAAACAAAGGGCCATAATTAGGTCAAAAATTATCCAATCACAAAACCTCTACAATATGCGCCAGGACACATGATGACAAAGCTTCTGTGAAAGTTTGAACAAAATCCGTTGAGAAATGTAGGACTAGTTCAGCACAGAAGAATTTGTTCACTATATATTGATAATTCTGTATAAGGAAAAAAAACCAAAGGGGCATAATTAGGTCAAATATTATCAATCACAAAACCCTGACAATATGCGCGCAGGGCACTTGATAACAAAGCTTCTGTGAAAGTTTGAACAAAAATCTGTTTTGAGAAATGTAGGACTAGTTCAGCACAGAAGAATTTGTTCACTATATATTTCTGTATAAGGAAAAAAAAAAGGGCCATAATTACATCAAATATTATCCAATCACAAAACCCCGACAATATGTGCCAGGGCACTTGATAAAAAAGCTTCTGTGAAAGTTTGGTCAAAATCCGTTGAGAAATGTATGAGGAGTTGCGCACAGAAGGAATTGTTCACTACATATTCTTTATAAGGAAAAAAAAACAAAGGGCCATAATTAGGTCAAATATTATCCAATGGCAAAACCCGGACAATATGTGCCAGGGCACTTGATGACAAACTTCTGTAAAAGTTTGGTCAAAATCCGTAGAAAAAATATAGGAAGAGTTGTGCACAGAAGAAATTGTTCACTATATATTCTATATAAGAAAAACAAACAAAGGGCCCATAATTAGGTCAAATATTATCCAATCGCAAAACCCCGACAATATGTGTCAGGGCACTTGATGACAAAGCTTCTGTGAAAGTTTGGGTCAAAAATCCGTTGAGAAATGATGGAGGAGTTTGCGCACAGAAGAAATTGTTCACTATATATTCTATATAAGAAAAAACAACTAAGGGCCATAATTAGGTCAAGTATTATCCAATGGCAAAACCCCGACAATATGCGCCAGGGCACTTGATGACAAAGCTTCTGTGAAAGTTTGGTCAAAATCCGTTGAGAAAATGTTAGGAGGAGTTGCGCACAGAAGAAATTGTTAACGCCCGCCCGCCCGTCCGCCCGCCCATCCGCCCGCCGACATACCTCAATCTAATAACCAGTTTTTTCCTTCGGAAAACCTGGTTAAAAACATACAACTATTAAAGGACTTGACTAATAAATACAGTTTATATGCAGACAAAACTCACTGACCTAACATATATGAGCCGCGCCATGGCAAAACCAATATAATGGGTTTGCGACCAGCACGGATCCAGACCAGCCTGCACATCCGCGCAGTCTGATCAGGATCCATGCTATTCGCTTACAGACACTATAACAAGAAACTGATAGCGAACAGCATGGATCCTGATCAGACTGCGAGGATGCACAGGCTGGTCTGGATCCATGCTGGTCGCAAACCCATTATGTTGGTTTTGTCGTGATGCGGCTCATATATGTATAAAGTATAAGTTTGGGCAACTTTTTTAATAAATCTACAACAAGAACTTGTTAAATAAACTGATAAGTTGATTACATGCATGGAAGATTTTTGTGTATTGAATGATAAATATTGGCAAAAAATAAGTTCAAATATTATTAAATGATCTTGTTTAATTTGAAATCAGAGCCTGACAAACAATTATTATGGACAGTCATATGGTGACTTTCAAGCCATAACAATGTAGGAAATTGTAAAATTGCACAGAATTTATTTAGACTTGAAATTAAAGCTTAAAGTCATATATTTAAATCTGTTTCTGGAAAAAATCAGTATTCAGCAGTGAGTGTAAAGGCTTTTGAACCCATACTGCCAGCAATCCTTAAACAACTAGATAGAACACATTAACAACTCCAGCATTCTACCACTTTTAAGAAAGACCTTAGAAGACCAACTTAGCACAATTAAAGACATAAGCAGACTCCTAAGTACGGCCAGGAGTGAACCAAAATCATTGAGCTTTAAAAGATATATAAACAAATTTTACTTACTTGGCCCCTTTCGTCTTCTTTCAGGTCTTATAGATTATAAAACATATGTAAATTTAGAGCAACAATAGCTAGTAATACATAATCAAATACTCAGTTCCTTTAAAAAGAAAACATTTTTTTTTTTATAAAGTTTGATGGTTTTCTAATGCTCAATGGCTGAGAAAGAAATGTGATATTTTGCATACCTCAAAACTAAAAATGAAAAAAAAAGCCTGTTTCAAGATACATGTACATAGAGTTGCTGCAATAGGCTCATGTTAACATTTAAGTTATTCATTTTTCTCAACCCAAATAAAAATTAGTTTGATATAATTAATATCATACTTGATAAAAAATATTCTTATCTACAAATGGAAGCTATATTCTAATAAGTCTCTTTGGTGAAGGTCATTCACTGTCTAATACTTAATGTGTCTACATAGTTCAGCTGTTAGTAACCTTTCAGATATGTTTTGCAAGTAGCTTTAAAAAAGAAGAAATCAACAGCTAAAAGGTCATACAATATTATAAACATATCTAGAGGAGTTAAGGTGAAGGTTAAACTGAAAGCAGCTTAAGGTCAAAGGTTAATGTTTGCATTAACTTTGCATATCCATATGAAATAGGATTGACCTTCTTTTATTTCCCAGTGTTTATTACCCCAAAATATATATAATGATAAAGTACATTATGTAAATAGAACAAACTTTCAACATCTGAGACATAAATGTGTTAAAAGTCAGCATGAACAAGTGAGACTAAAACTGAAGTCTGTTCTTAAGTTAAATAACCCACTTGACCATGAGTAGCGTACATGCCAGTTGATAAGATGAACTGTGATCCTGTCCTCATGAACAATGATGGAGACACCTATAAGTCTTTTGTATATCCTTCAGATTATTAAATATTGGATTACAATGAGTGCACCCAACAGATGGTCATATGTTGACCTTGATAACCATGAAGCTTGAATAATGAAGGTTATAGCTGCAATGAGGTCAAGGTCATTTGATGATGACTTCTAAACCCACAAGCAGTGAAGGTGACTGCCTCATTGACTCAATGTCAAGGTCATACAGTGACCCAGATAATCATCAGCATAAGAGGTGAAGGTCATCTCTTGTCCCAGACGTCGTGAACATCTTGTGCTAAATCTTCAAGGCCTCTCAGTGTTTTAAAGCTGCCCGCATAGAATGTCAGATCTGATGTTACAAGCCTACAAAATTAGAGGAAAAAGTAATTCAGCCATTCTGTAATTAGTTTTTTTAATATGTCATACTAATTCATTGTAATAGGGTAATAAACCAATGCCATATACGTTAATAGTCAAAACACCATTTTCAATATCTTATACACCATTTTCAATATCTTTGTATAACCATGATGTAAATTATGTATATTTTATGTATATTTATGTTTTTGAGGCCCACATGGAAGATTGGGCAACCAAATGTGTAGCCTCAGTAAATAAAGACTTTACTTACTTACTTACTTACTTATTCTGAACCATATCTAATTCCAAATACGCAACTGGTTGTCAAATTTTGCAACATATGTCCAGTGCTCAAACTTTTTATAATAAAGAAGTGTAATAATAGAAGAAAATGCTCTGTTAACAAGTTACAATGTCAAATATCTGAAATGCACTTGTCTATCTTTCAATCTCTGGACAAAACCACCTGTTTTTTAGAGAAAATCTCAAAATGAGAACTGACTGAATGGTGAACAATGCAAACCATGATCAGACTGCACAGATGTGCTGGATAATTCTGGTTTGCACCAGGTAGATTCAGTGCTGCCACCAGACTAAATGTTAAGTCAGCTAGTAAATATTCAAATGAAAGATCTTTGACAGTCCAAACAAGGGATTTTGTTGCTGAAAGAAATGTACATAATATTTGTCTTAAGTTATCTTTATACAAATTCATTTTAGTTTGTGTTGGAAGCTATAAGCTTATTGAAACACTCTCGAATTCGTTCCTGGAACTAACCAGTACTTAGCAATGAGTGTAAAGTTTCTTGCTCAAGGAAACAATGGCTTGCCCCTGACTGAATGAAAGCCATGTTTTCATACCATTTTATTTAAGAAGCAAAATTTATAAACTTATATATCCGCGAGGCCCATTATTAGGTGTAAAAAGTAGGTAAATAAAACAATACCCATGTTGTGGTCCTCCATTATTTGTTACATTGAGATGAACGAGTTGTTGTCGTAACACTTTCTTAAATGTTTGATTGATTCTGGTAAATATTGCCTTAAAAAAATAAAGATCATTTTTTAACATCTTTTCATACAGTTTTGGTAAATAAACCGTAATGGCATATAGTTTTAATTGACAGAAGAAGAAACATCTTCTTTGCAAGGAGTCACATCAACACCGTAAAGGCCACATGGCAACTATACAGCTTTATTCGTGCAGGAAGATCCCAGGAAGACCGTCTGTGCATTATTTCAGGCATAATCAAGTAGGTGAGTAGAACCACCAACATTCTATAAGAATGAATTCAATGTTCCAGGTGAAATTTCGAGTGAGGGATGATTTGAGTTCAGCTAAGGAGGCCCCTATCTCAAGGTCATTTCTCAAAATGCCAAAATGAAACTCTTAGATGTAACTAATGTTTAAGTAAGAAGGCTCCTGATAATAGAATAAGATGTAAAGATCAATAGAGAGATGAAAATAGGCAGACTGAATAAATGCTATATCTTTGATTCATGAGTCTTCACAGTGGGAAATATATTTGGGGTTGACAATATTGACTATCGCCAGTGTTATTTATAAATATATAAAGATACAAATGAGCCGTGTCATGACAAATCCAGCATAATGTGTTTGCGACCAGCATGGATCCAGACCAGCCTGCGCATCTGCGCAGTCTGATCAGGATCCATGCTGTTCGCTATCAGTTTCACTACTTGTTATAGGGTTTGTAAGCGAACAGAATGGATTCTGATCAGACTGTGCGGATGCGCAGGCTGGTCTGGATCCACGCTGGTCGCAAATGCTTTGTTGGGCACAAATGCTTTCAGGAAGCGAGTAGTACATATCATTCTTTACAACTTCTGTGCCTCTCTTGACAATTTCTTTCATGTTTTTGGCACATATAGAGTTTACAGCTTATATGACCAGAAAATTTCAAATCCTCAAATATACATCACGTTGGTGCAATAAGAAACTATGTATCTAGAACTCTGATGTGGTATCAATGTAGGAAAAGGTTCAGCAGGGATACATGGCATACCTTTACTTGTTCCTGAGGAAGAATGTCAATGATAGCTTCATGAAGTTTTGCCATTTGTTTACATATTGCACGGAAACAGGAGGACGGCATGGGAGCCTTCACTTCCCACTGAAATATACATATAAGAAAAACCTTATGAAATATGCATGCACATAAAATAAATAAAAAAAATCCTATGAAACATAAAAATGAAAAACAAATGTATACATAAAATAATTTATGAAATCTAAATCTGTTTGTTAAAAAATACATAAAAAAATAACATTTAATGAAAACCAAGTACAATGTTTATATACTTTTGATGAAAACATCATATTCCTATGATGGAATTTCTACAAACTTTAAACAAACTACAGACAGTAACTTAAATCATTTAATTTGGCAAAATCATACATGTTCTAAAAGAAGTACACTATTCAGTGATATTGTTAAATGAAAACATGATGAATATAGCCTTTCTCACACATTCCCTTGCATAGAATGCAATATTAGACAGAGTAAACGGAAAGAATACTTCATGTATTTACAGACTACAGCAAAGAGTTACTTACCTTTTGTACATTTATAACTCCATATGATGTGAGCCATGTACTTAAAATGTTGTTTTTTCCAAAATGGACTGATCCAGTTTCTATTTTTGAAGCTGACCATAATGGGTTTTAGAAATATCAAGATGAAAATTTGAAGTTGGTCAGTCAACAGTATACAGCCTGGTCATACTGCACAATAGTACAGGCTGGCCTGTCTCTATACTGGTGTCTAAGGCTAATCATTTTCTGTGACCCCAGTGTTAGGATTGTAATATGTAAAGGGAACCAACTGTGTATGGCTTTATTTTTAGTTTAGCACAGAGTAACATACCCTTGATAACTGTGAATCTACCATGCTCTCCATTATGGTGACTAGTTTATTTGAGATCTCGTCTATATGGTCCTGATAGTCCTGTAATACAAAAACAATAATTTCACATTCAACAATAAGTAAACCAAACACTAATGACTTATGGTACATTCACAAATACATGTAGTTAATATAATTTAGTTATGATGATAATGCATAAAATAATGCGTTGGGATTGGGGTAGGGGGAAGGGGGCATAAGAGATCTTTCTCAACTAGAAAAGCTTGTAGTGGCCATATGAGTTTTGCTGCCATGTTCATGTGCCATGTCTTTGGTTTTATTAGATCCTGTTTGTTGATTTAGTACATAATATCTAAATATGTTCCCTTGAAAAAAAAAAGCTTTTTGAGAAAGTATAAAATGAAATGTCAATTCATGTGTGTTTTATTGAATATATCAATAAACAACATTATAATTATGATGTCAGTCTCCAGGTCAAATTCAGTTCTACTGACAAAATGACAAAGATGAGCACTTCTTCACCCTTAAAAAACCTACATGTACATAACCTTTGAGATCCCAATATCTATAAAAGAGTTTTGTCATTCTGGTTTTTACGAAGATTAGTATACATGCTTTGGTCATATCTTTGCAGTCGACCCATCTTACTTGCCTTCCTGGATAACTAACCAGTTATTACAAATTTCTCCGTATGTGACCCATTACTTATCCCACTTGATTTCTGATTCAGCGGTTGGTAACAAATTATCATAAAACTGGATGTCTGAGATTAATTGTCACAGAGAAATTGTCACAAGTGAGGATTGAACCAGAGACCCCTTGGATTACTAATCCAATGCTCTCCCTGTAGAGCTGAGTGGGCAAGTATGGAAATAACTTAATAACTTCTTTTGAGGTCTTAAAAAAACAAAATATATATTAAACTGTTCACTATAAAATGTACAGTATTGCTTACCTTTAATATTTGATCGAAATGTTTAAGCATGTTGATTGTTTTATTATTGACTAGCTTCTCCTCAAAATGTTTTCTAACCATCGGCATATAATAAACAACTAGTTGTAGACAGCGTGATGCTAAAGCTGAAAATATATCCACAACAATACAAATGTCTTTTTATATTTATCATAGTTAAGTGACCTTTCCATTGAAAATGTGCTGGAAGATAAATCTTATACTCATTAATGCACAGTGCCTTAACTGAATAGCAGGTATTATTAGTTAACCTGCATGTCAGTTAACACAGCTGTCTGTCTTGGGATAAAAAATACAGATTCTCATAGTATGGCAACATTATTTTAGGGTTTACTAATGGTGACAACAAGGAAATGGATAAAGATAGACATATTTAGATGCAAGTAGGAAAGATACATTTTTTCTGGGGTTTACAATTTTGTGATGACAGGGAAAAATATTTTATTTTAAGATACGATACAAAAGAGGAAGAATATCAAAACAATTGGCAACCTGATTACTATAAGATATAAGAATAATCATTTATCTATCAAAATTGTGAGATAAAGCTAAGTTATAAATTTGCCATTGTATAGAAAACAGATATCACTGGGAGTTTTAAAGAAGAGTAAAGTACCTAGATTTTTAGTTGATATAGTTTTGAGGCCTACTAATTCTAATGCACCAGCCCCTAGCACCAGCTGACAAGTCCTTGAATTAAATATCTGAAAAATAAAATGGAAGAATTTAACTTCATGCATACAAACTGCACTTTCTTTCAGTTTTAAACAGAATTATTGTCAAACACTTAAATTTCATTTTAGTTTTCCTAGGAAAAGGTAAAAATTTGTTTAAAGATTTCAGAATTTTTAAGCAGTTTCGAAGCTATTTTATTCTAATTAAATTTGTTTTCATCCTAGCTGGCATGGAAAACAGAATTCTGCTAAATCTTTAGATATTCTACCTTAATTTGAACATAGAATTATATTCATTTTCATCTATGGCATAATAAAATAAAGTTATGACTTTATATTAATCACTATTGAGATTCAACTTACTCTCAAATAATGTAATTTAAGTCAAAATATTAGGACTAGTAAATCTAAAACAAAAGACTTCTGTAATAGTAGGAAGAATACAACAAAACTTGGTCAAAAATCAACCTTGTCTTGTCCAAAATGTGCACAGTTGCTATAGTTACATGTTTGACAGATATCATACCTTAAGTAGATCTACAAGTCTAGTTAGAAGATCTGCAGACACTGCTGGAATATCATCTGAACACTGACAATACTCTATCACCATCTTCAATAGTAATAACACTGTCCTGAAATTACAAAATAATTAAAATTCATAAACAGAATTTCCAGTTACACAGAAATCATTTTAGACAACCATCGTAAAGTCAATCACTACATTTAAAGCCAAGGAAAAACAGAAAGAAAACTCAAAAGTCTGCATACAATTGTAGAGCATCAAATCTCTCTTTTGATAATCTTTATAGCTTAACTTCAGCAATAATTTCCAATTAAATTTCAGTCTTATGCCAGCAGGCACTAACTGAATTAGTAAATTAGTTGATTCTACAATGATACAACCCATTATAGCCAGACATACAATATTCTAAATTTGCAGCAGACAAAGTATCTTAGGACATACTGTTTATAGCAAAACCAGAACTAGACTTTAATCTTTACCCTACTGGAACTGTAAGTGATCATATCAGCCTTGTCTCCAGTATAGAGCCAGGCCAGCATACATATCCCTGCAGTCTTACCTGGCTCTATACTGGAGGCACACACACTTAAGACTTTTGTTTTTCTATAAATCTAACAAATAGCAAGATCTTTAAAACAAAACAAGGTCTACAAATAGCAAGATCTTTAAAACAAAACAAGGTAAAAAAAGTAACTAAATTATTGAGTTCAGTGATATTCAAAATCTAGACATTGAACTTAAAATATATCAGGAATTCTTTCTGACTGATGTTTTAATTTAGTGTATTCTCATAATTGTAATGACAAAATCCCTTAGACTAACAATGGATTGTTCCACATTCAAAGCATGGTTAAGTCCATTCAAAATCAGTAGGATATTCAGGATAAGAAAGAAATTTGATCACTTACCCTACAACAGCATAATTGTCACCATCTACTATTAGATATTCACCAGGACTTCTCTCTGTAAAGGAGACAATCAACATTTACATTTGTATTTTATAAATTTAAAAGCAACAAGTAGTTTCTTTAAAAAGATATTCAGCCTGAATTTTTATTTGCTAATTTTTGAACTCACAATAATTATCAATGTTAAAGTATTATCAGAGCAGAAGGGCTACCTGTCCAACAAATATTTGGGCAAAGGAAAGCTGCAAATGGCCAATTAATTTGATGGAAGTGCAAATAAAACTAACAGCCACAGGCCAAAGGAAGTTTTAAGGATAATGTAAAAATAATGTTCTATTTCTGACCATAAAATATGGTATATTTCTAAATTTGTAAATGCAAGCAGTTATAAATCAAATTTGGCTTAATTGTTCAACAAATGGTTTATTTTTGTTCTATTTTTATAAACTATAAAAAGAAAGGTGACTGTAAACTATTTTTGTATACTACCTGTATTGTATTTACTGACACAGTACAAGTACATGTACTGTGATAAAAAAGAATTAAGAAACAATGCTGTTCTCCCCTCCCGTATTTTTTTAAATATAAGGAAGCATGGGCTTGATCCGAGAAATGCATTAAATGAGAAAGTCACATTCGCTATAAAAAATCCACTTAATTTAAAGCAGAACTCTGTATAATAACATCATATAGATTAAAATGCTCTTTAAATAGACTAAAACCAACAAAAAATATTTACATACCTATCTCAATTTTGGTTTCTGGAATACATAAATGACCTGTAAAATAATCAAAACATGATTATCAACGTTTACCTATTAATGAAAAAGGAGTAAATTATGAACTTTAAACAAAGAAAACGCAGTAAATTATCATTTTTAATGCAAATGGTGTAAATTATTAACTTAAACTAATAAAAATGGAATTATAATCAACTTTAATGAAAACAGAGAAAATTTTCAACTTTAAACAAAGAAGACACAGTAAATTATCAACTTTTAAAGAATGAAAATGGAGTAATGGTCTAAGCCTCCGTTGATACTGGACAGGTGAAGCAATGATCTTTATGAATGAAGTTAGCTCAATAGGGAGAGCATTGAATTTGTAATCGAGGGGCCACCAGTTTGATCCTTGGGCAAGATGAAATTTCATCATGACAACTGATCTTGGACAGTGTGTCTAATTGTCTTTATCTATCACCAATAAGTCAGAAAGTCAAATAATGTGGATTTAGTAGAAATTGGTTATTACTGGTTAGTTTTCCAGGAAAGCCAGTTTTTTGTGGACTGATTGCCAATATAAGACCAAGAAATATGTTGATACTAGTGTAAAAATTAGATGAAACAAACAAACAAAATAGCCTAATGGAACCAAAAGCGACATTAGCCGTTGCCACTAGTATAGACCCAGGCCAATCTGCATATCAAACATGTGCAATATACGGAAATAAGTTACCGTTTTTTGTTTGTTTTTTTTTTTACATAAAAAATAAGGAAGGTGATTAAAATAAAATATTTCTTCATACCTGTGTTAGATATATGATAGACAAGGTCTTGAAATTCTGTTGGTACATCTGCCTGCTTCCATCTTTCATTGTCCAAAATCAAACTGAAAATACAGAAATACATACATGATTACTTAAAAAATCTAACAAGAGGACTTTAATGGCCCTGCATCGCTCACCTGAACATATGTAACATTAGCCTGCTGGCATCAACTGAATTTACTCATGCAACCAGTGCAGGCCAAAGTAAGAACTGTTCACTTCTCATTCAGTATATATATTTTGAAATTTTAACCAAACCTGATGAATGCTTTCCTAAAAGTTGAAAAACGGACAAGTCCATTTTCGATATTAAGCTTGGTAAAGGTTAATTCACAAGATGAAGTTGTTCACAGGTTTCCCTATTTTTATGCAGATTTTCAAGCACAATATTTAGTTCAGGTTACGGGTTCATCTAAAGATACTAAACTACTAAGAAAATTACTGCTTAATAAATAGCCAAACTTTTTGGGTCTGCTACGCTAATGATTAAAAACCTTATTATAATTTTTTTTAAAAACAGATGGGACCACCATAATGACTACTTAAGTAGCCTACAGAGATGAGTGTTTTTGTTGTAAATAAATTACTTCCATTGTAAATGGTAAAAGATATAGAAAAATAATAACTGAAACAAAAAACAATTAAAATAGCACCATTAAGAAATTGTATCTCTCTATAGATTATTTTGAAAAGCTACCATTAGCGAGTCTGTCAAACAATATTTATGTTAAAAGTAATGGGACATTTTCATTTACTACAATGTATTAGGATTCCTTTTCAATGTCGCTTCATAATCAACATGTTCTAGACTTTTATTTGTATTGATAATTTACTTATACTTTAACCAATCAAGTAACAATTTTAGTTGTTTTGGAAAACAATTAGAGCATTTCAAATATTATTCTTTTCATTAAACCTTCCCAGGATATGATGTTCTAGAACACCAGAAGACCATTGTAACATTATTTGACCTTTTGAAAAAAAACAACTTTACCTTTAACCTGCTGAATTTCTTAAATGTGTTGTGTTTTTATTTTGTTTTTGTTTTTCCCCTGTTTTATGTCCATGACCAACATAGTATAAGTCATATGGCCCCTTTCCAGCTTTACTGATGAAGGAAGACTTCGAAGATGCCCTTCTGTGCATTATTTCAGGCACGAACGGGCACCTGAATAGAACCACCAATGTTCAGTAAGCTAGCTGGATAACTTCCTCACATGAAAGAGTCCAAAGTCCCTGTTGGGTTTTGAACTCACAGTGGTTATGTGCAAGTGGTTTGAAGTCAATGACCTTAACCACTCGGCCACAGACACCCTTTAAATGGGCTTATCCAATCCACTAAATATGGAACTATCCATGATATATCTAGATGAAAATTAAAAGGTAATCAGTAAAGTTGGGCATACAGGCCTAAATCTGAATTTTTTTTACAGTCTGCTTCCCATAAACTGTCTTGAATAGTTTTTACCTAACTATTTATTTAAATGTTGCTACTTCCTTGATAAATAATACAAAAATTAGGTCAACAATGAACTAAATAATTTAGAACAAACTAAGTAATTTAGAAATTACACATTTTAACAGCTACAGTCTCTCCTACTCCACATGAGCTAATTTTTTCTTATTTTTTTTTCTTTCTATTACTAAATGAAATTTCTCATTTCATAATCATTCTATTTATATAAACTATTAATTTCGCTTTCATTTATTCAGATAAAAATCATTAAAACACATTGATTTTTCTCAATCCCATTTCCCTACTCACAAAACTATCAAGTTCTCTTAATTATAGACAGAATAATCTTCTAGCATTTAAACAATTCTGTAGAGTAATTACTGTCTAGTGATCATGTTCCATTAACAATAATAATTCCCTGGATACATAACCAATATAACTGTATTTAAATAGGAAAACATTAAAATGAGATCATCAAATTTGATAAATTCTATTAGTACACGTAGTAGTTCTGTAGAGCAGTTCAAATAGAATTGTCAAGCATTCATCGCTCTATCTTAGCCTCTATTATAATTATGTCTGTCTGGATAGCTTTCTCATATAAAAGAATCCAAAGAATTCACAACCATAGCAGTGAGGAGCAAAAGGTTTGAAGTTAAGCAACCTTAACCAGTCGGCCATGGACAGTCCCCCAATGAATTTAATGAATTTTATTATTGTGATTATTGCATTATTCTAAAACACTGAGGTTATTTTAGTTTTTAAAGATATTTCAAAAACATATTTTATATAAAACAATTTCTGGTACACGAATAATTAGACATTTTCAAATTCATTTGAAGTATACAAACATAAAGAAACATATTTGAGAATTTGCTCCCTATTGCCTGCATAGTTTGATTTCTACCAGTCAAACATATAAAAATCTTAATAATTGAGCTGTGTCATGACAAAACCAACATAGTGCGTTTGCGACCAGGCTGGTCTGGATCCATGCTGGTAGCAAACGCACTATGTTTTGTCGTGACACAGCTAATATTTAAAGCTGCATGGCACCAGATGATCCAAACCATTTCAAGAAAATCAACAACTACACTTTTAAGAAAAGTTAAAATATTCACACATCAAGTAATGGTTTACGTGTTGTATGCATTGAATGTCTGATTTTGCAGTATTTTTTACCATATTCCTACTGTGCCACCTATTTATTTATTTATTTTTTTTTTTGTTGCATAATTATTTTGAACTATATTTGGTAATTTACATGGATTGAAAGTGCTGTTTGCATGGATTGAAAGTTCTGTTTTCAATGTATAAATTACTTTCTTTGTTCACTTAACAATATTTTACTTTTTAATACATTTTCCACGTGCCAATATTTCACACATAATGCATAATATATTTTCAAAATTTTCTTAAAAATTAGCATGAATCTTGAGGCATGCTGCTTTTACCATTAGCCATGCATACCCAATGATAAGGAGAACTTCTGTGCAGTGTTTGCTATTTAGTCACTTAGGTCACTACACATTTTGAAACTTTTCCTGAAAATTCAGCTATGTCGTATGATAATCTAAAATTGGACCTATAATGATCACCAGTGCATTTGTAATAATTTCTTTCAAAAAAGATCACCTTTCTCGGTAAACAATACATTCGATCAAATAGCAGGCTGAAAAACTCTTTTCAATTCCACTCTTTTCACCAAACAAAAGAAAGTCAATTAAATTTAACAGACATTTGATTATGATCTCAGCTCCAGACATAGATTATCAATTTTACAATTGCTCAAAAAATTATTTTAACCAGATATTAATGTATGTCTAATGCTTAAGGGAGACTTATATGGAATTTCAAGAACTGTTGGGTATAATTTAATAATGTGAATATGGATTACAGAGTTTTAGCTATTATTAAATATGAATAGTTTTTACATAAGAATTAATTTTTTCTTTTTTTAAATCTATGTCAGAGGAAACATTTTATCAACTGGCATTCCTACTTTTCTTAAAACTTAATTTAAGCCTCAGAAACAACTAATTCTATCCATGTGTCACTGCAGAACAAGATAAGCTGGAACATTGACTCTGTCTGATCATGGTCTGCTATGTTCACTATTCAGTTATTTATTATTTTTCAAGTTTCCTTAAAAGTAATGAATATAATGTCCAGACTGAAAGATGGACAAGTCCATTAAGATAATTTCCATCGCAAGGACATCAAGACATGGTGACAAACATTTTTTTTGTTAAGTCTCACAGTTTACCCAAGTTTACGTTGCTTAAAAGGCATTAAACAAGAAATAACATAATTATCTAAAACAAAATCAAGCATTACATGTAATTGGCATAGAAGAATATTTTTTTATTATCATACTCTACTCAAAAGTAAAAATTCAAAAATATTTTGTCTCGCAGAAAGTAAATATTGAAATTTTAAAAAATCTGTTTCGAACTTAAATGAATTCTATATTCATTACAAATATTAAAACAAACAAATATACTTAAATTTATACTATTATACTATCTGATGGAAGAACAGTGAATTTCAAAAGGATTGGTAATTACTAAAGTGATATATATAAATCATATTTTTCACTGATAAACCATCAAGTATCACATTGATTGACATGGAATTAAGCCACGGTAAACAAGCAAAGAAATAGAACATCAGCACTTAAAAGGTTCAAAGCAAACATTGACTTATTTCATCAGCTCCACATAATCATTACCACTGATGTTTCAATTCCTATACTAGATGATATGTTCATAAAAACATGATAAATACCCTCTATGAAAGCCTGCTGCCAGTGGGAGTCTGATGAATCTCTGACACATAGATTTATTGACTGACCATAAACAAAAAAAAAGATCATATCACATAAATATGTCCTAGATGATCTTGTTACAAAAAAAACCTGCCTGTCCTCAGAGTGCAAGCGATAATCATAAAAGGATGAATGATCAAATTGATTCTTCAAAATAAACAAAACATTTACGAAGTGAATAAATGCTGCTGAGAGACAATTTAGTTGAGAAAAAACCCTCAATCAGTGAAGGATATTGTCGGCCAAAAGGATTTTTCATTTCAGAATAAATGAAGGAATTAATAATGAAGATGGAAAAGAAGACAAAAGTAGAACGATTTGAAATGGAAAGGCAAGACAGTCAAAAAGCATGGTCTGAGTACAATGAAAGCAGAGTTAAAAGTTTAAAATACATTATAAGACCTATGTTGTATATACTGGCGATTGCCGGATGTTACAATTTTAGCGATATAAACAATGACAGAGAACAAGTAAGTTACACCAAATCTGTGTTTTCTAAAGTATATAGACTAGTTATGATAACACTGGTGGTGGCAGGAGCTGCAAAATATATCGCATGCTTTTTCTACCTGCCGGCTGGTTATTTCCACTTCATCAGTTTATGTGCTGTATGGAATATTTATATCATTTGCATACATATTTATAACTTGAAGGCAACAAGTTCCAGATTTGGACACTATGAGAAGGTTTTTCAATTCTGGAATCAGAAAATTGTTCCAGACTTTGAAGAACTCGGTATCGAATATCCGTCAGTAAAATTGAGAAAAGGCGTAATCATC